CAGGGGCGACTGGCCCATACTCTGACAAGGTCGAGAGCTACCTCTCGAACGCCCCTGGTGGCCAACAGCTCCGCGCGCGTGAGCAGAGCGGGCAGTACTCCGACAAGGTCGAGAGCTACCTCTCAAACGCGCCCGGCGGCGAGCAGCACCGCGCGCGCGAGCAGGGTGGCCAGTACTCCGACAAAGTTGAGAGTTACCTTGACAACACTGGCACCTCCGCTCGTCAGCAGAGCGGACAATACTCGGACAACGTCCAGAGCTACCTCCAGTCAGGCCAGCAGCCACATGGCGTGAGCCCCACCGCTGCTGGCGCCGTTGGCGCCGGTGCAGGTGCCCTTGGTGGTACCGCCTTCGGCCAGCGCCAGGCTCAGGACAGCCAGCGCGACCGCGACTCGGGCGCTTACTCGACCGGAGCCTCTGGTACCCAGATCCCCAGCCAGGGACGCCAAACGCAGCAGTTCGCAACCGACAAGGACGCACGGGACGCCCAAGACAACCGTGACGACCGTGGACCCAGCGCGGGCGCCCTCGCGGGTGTTGGTGCCGGTGTCGCGGCTCTTGGTGCTGGCGCGTACGCCGCTTCGCGCCGCGACAATGACAAGGACGTGCCCAGCCAGCAGCAGTACCAGCAGGGCACTCAGCTTGGCTCGCAGTCTGACGCCCAGCGCACTTCGCAGCAGTTCGGTGCTCAGCAGCCGTCGTCCACCACCTCGCAGGGCCAGCGCGGCACCGACGCCATCTCAGGCGCCCGCAACCTGGCCACCGACTCCAGTGCTACTGGCACGCAGGCGCACGGCCCAGGCGCCGGCACCGCCGCCCTCGGTGGCGCAGGCCTCGGCGCCGGCGCCGTCGCGGCAAAGGACTCCCTCTCAGGCTCAGGCAACCTCGGCCCGCACGCCAAGAAGGTCGAGGAGTACCTCGTCAACGCCCCCGGCACGGAGCAGCGCCGCGCGGACCAGACAAGCGGAAAGTACTCGGACAATGTGCAGAGCTACCTCGCGGGTGCGCCCGGTGGCGAGCAGCACCGCGCCGAGCAGACGAGCGGCAAGTACTCGGACAACGTGCAAAGCTACCTCACCTCTGCGCCGGGCACCGAGCAGCGCCGTGCGGACCAGACCAGCGGCAAGTACAGCGACAACGTGCAGCAGTACCTCGGCGGCGACCGCGATGTAGCCGACCGTAACAAGGATGAGCGCTCCGGCCCCGGTGCAGGCACCTTCGCAGCTGTTGGGGCTGGTGCCGCTGCCCTCGGCGCAGGCGCGTATGCCGCATCGCGCGACAAGGACCAGCAGGTTCCCGGCCAGCACCTGCAGGACACCCAGCAGTTCTCGAGCCAGCCGGCCGTCGGCACCACCGGCGCCCTCGGCGACGCCTCGCGCGACGCCACGGCTGCACGCGACATGCCCTCGCCCGCCACCCCAGGTCTCGCGGGCGTCGGCGCTCACGGAATCAACACCCACCCTGAGGCCACAGGCGCGCGTGAGGCCATCCCAGGCACCCAGCACGCCTCTCAGAGCCACCCTGGTGCTTCTACCGCCGCTGGCGGGATTGGAGGTGCCGCGCTCGGCGCTGGTGCCGCCTACGCCGCTGGCCAGCACAATCAGCAAGGTCTGCAGCAGCAGCGCATCCCGTCGGGTGCACAGGATGCTGCCCGTGACGCCGCTGCCTATGGCACCCCTGGTGCCCAGGGCTCAACCATTCTACCTGGCACTACTGGCGCCGCGGTCGCGGGCATTCCCACATCAAGCACGGACTTCGCTCGTACCGCTTCCCCCGGTAGCCGAACTGCCCCGCAGTACCCCGTCGACAAGAATGCTGAGCGCGCCACTGACTCCTCGACGTCGAGCTACCTCAAGCCCGCCCTTGCAGCGGGCGCCGGCGCTGCTGCTGTTGCTGGCGGTGTCATGGCTGGGCGCGAGCTCGGCCGCGACAAGAATGTGCAGGAGTTCGAGGCGACCGACGCGCAGGGCCGCCCGATCTACGCCGCCCTCGCGGAGGAGCGCCACGGTGCCACCACGGCGATCGCCGGCGCCGCCCGCGGCCAGGACTACGAGGAGCGCATGGCGCTCGAGAGCACCCAGCAGCGCGGAGGCACCCAGACGTTCATGGCGGACGAGGTGCGCACGTCTGCTGGCGTGACCACTACTGCGATGGAACAGATCGAGCGCCCGGGAGGCGTGCAGACCATGATCGCGCAGCAGGACCCGCGCGGCGAGATCACTACCACCCTTGTCCAGACCGGCCCTGAGGGCACACGCGTGCAGACTCTCGACGACCCCACCTTCCCACCTCGCGAGGGACAGATGGCTGGCACCCCCAACCGCTCCATCAGCGGGAGCGTGGACAGCTACAAGACCGCCCTGTCGGGCGACCTCCTCGACGACCCCAAGTGGCACACCTCGGCCCAGAGCTCGGGCGTCTCCCCGGCCGCCCTTGCTGCGGGCGCTGGCGCTGCTGGCCTCGCGGCCGCGGGCGCTGGTGCTTACGCTCACTCGCGTAACCAGCAGCAGCCCGGCCAGGCGCAGGGTCAGTTCACCCAGCCCGGGCAGACTGGTCAGCAGCAGTTCATGCAGCCTGGCCAACAGCAGCAACAACAGTTCATGCAGCCCGGGCAGTACCAGCAGCAGGCTGTCGACCACGCCCACGGACAGGGAGCTGGGGGCAGCGCGTTCATTGAGTCGCCCTCTTCGCAGCGCCAGACCCATTCCGACGCGAAGACGGCTGGCGCCGCCGTTCTCGGCGGTGCTGCCGGCACCGGCCTCGCTCACGGGTCGGAGCGCACCCAGCCTTCCGCTACAGGTGCCTCTGTCCCCTCGACTCAGGCTCTCCACAGCGACAACCGCACCGGCACCGACCGCAGCCAGATCTCATCGCAGGGTGGTCTGACCGCAGCCGAGCTGCGCGAGGGTGTGCAGCTTGGTCCGGAGTCTACTCAGCAGGCTCAGCAGGAGAGTGGCTGGGGCAAGACGGCCGGATACGGCGCCGTTGGTGTTGCAGCCGGTGCCGCTGCCGCAGGGCTGTACGGTGCCACGCGTGACGGCGACGACAAGTCGGGCCGCCGCGCGAGCAACCGCGAAGCGTTCGTCTCGGGTGTGCCTACTGCCGCCAAGAGCGGTAACTTCCTCCAGGGCACACCGGAGCGTCTCAGCCAGCCCAGTGCCGGCCAGCAGGCTCCCGTTGTCCACACCGGCTCTAGTGTCGCAGGCGGAACGGGCCAGTTCCAGGGCCAGTCCAGCCAGACGCAGCTCGACAAGCCTCATCCGCCCCACCCCGAGCACAAGGACAAGGACCACTCGGCCCTCGCGGCCGGCGCCGGTGCTGGCGCCGGTGCGGCGGGCCTCGCTGCGCACCACCACCAGAAGGAGACGTCGGCGACTAGCGCCGGCTCAACCGAGCCCAAGACGCCGACCAAGGAACGCCGCCGCTCGTCCCTCTTCGGCAACATGTTCAAGAAGAAGGACCGTGAGCGCCTGCAGTCGCTGGAGACGGACTCGATGCCAGCCGATGCGGCGGGAGCGCAGGCCGCTGCGCGCGCCAAGCTCGACTCGGGCGTGCCCTCCTCGGGGACCGCAGGCCAGCCGCCCGCGCAGGGCTCCGGCCTCCCCGGCGCCGCCGTCGCTGGTGGCGCGCTCGCGGGAGCTGCTGCTGCTGGCGCTGCTGGTCTTGCGGCCAGCCAGCATGCAGGTACTGGTGCGCTCGACTCAGCGCGCACCACCGGGACTGGCGCGCTTGACCAGGGCCGCAGCACCGGCACCGGTGCACTCGACTCGAGCCGCAACATGGTGACTGGTGCGCTCGACTCTGGCCGCACTGGCCTGACCGGTGCGCTTGACCAGGGCCACACTGGCGTCACGGGCGCGCTTGGGAGCGCTCGCGACAGCGCGACGGGCGCCGTCTCGGGCGCCACCGGGCATCATGCGCATGGGCCGTACTCGGCCAAGGTGGAGCAGTACCTCGCTACGCACCCGCCATCGGAGTTGGCGAGCAGCACGCTCAACCAGGGCCAGACGGCCGCCACTGGCGCTTTCAACCAGGGCCAGACTGCGGCTACTGGCGCGTTCGACCAGGGCCGCTCTGGAGTCACTGGCGCGCTCGACTCTGGTCGTACGGCGGCAACAGGCGCGGTCGGCACAGGCGCAGCAGGCGTGACCGGCGCCCTCGGTGCCGGCCGCTCTGGCGCTACTGGCGCTGTAGACGGTGGCCGCACGGCAGGTGCGGACGCGACGTCGTTCGCGCAGAAGACGATGGACTCGGCGACGGGCCTCGGATCGACGCTCACGGCCGGTACTGCCGGCACTGTCGGGTCATCCACGCTGCGCGACAGGCCGACGACGCCGTCCCGCATGACGGGCACGACGGCCCCCGCCACCCCCGCCAAGTCATCACAGGTGGTCGAGCACAGCACGCCGGGCGGGCACAGCACGGCGCACTCAACCGGGTCGCGTAAGAAGAAGGGATTCTTTGCCAGGGTGAGTTTGATGAGATGGGCACGCGCTAACGACCAGCTCAAGGCTGCGTTGACGGGAAAGAAGCACGAGTAGTAGGAGAGACGGTTAACTAATCAGTAGAAGGAATCTTGATAGCTTCGTTTCAATGCTAATGCATTCTGCTTTCGAACAGTCCGCTTTGTGAGGAGGGAGTTGAAAGTCTGTCTACTGCAACTTGATAGACTGTATGTATACTGGCTGCATCGCCCCGCTGTTGCGAGTGACACTATCTGCGGGACCAATCATGGAGAAAACGAGAGCGCCACCGCCGTCAGTACAGCTCCTCCGTTTCTCGCATGAGCAAGCATGGCTGCCCATGGATCAATGCACCAGGTGGCGAGAAATTCCGATGAGAACCAAGTTCTGTTTCTTAGGTTACGATTAGGAGAACCGCTCACTCGCGACGCGTGTGATTTGTTTTGAGGATGACACATGGCCGAATATCCCTGACTCAGTCATGATACCCTGCACTGGAGCGAATTGCCCCCGTTTCCCCTGGCAACAACACAACACCCGGCACCTTCCTCCGTTCCCATCCCTCAGCTGCCTCCTTCGAGCTCATCGTCCATCGCTCCATCGCTCCATCGCCCCATCGCCCTCCGCCACTTGTCTTTGTCTCTCCTCGTCTCATCTGGCGCCGGCGCCATCCATTCATCATGCGCTCGACAAATCTCTCCTCGTCCCAGTATCCCACAACATCCCCGCAGCCCTCGCCTCGACCGCACTCGATCTTGGGCTCGTTCAGTGGCATTGGCCCGCAGTCGCCGACTCCGACCACGCCCACGCACAGCGCCTTCAACTTTGGTGCCAACCCGCTCGAGCGCTCCCGCTCCCTCGGGCCAGGAACACCCACCCACTCCAGAACTCAGAGCACAGTCACAATCGTTGACAAGCTCGGCCGTGGCGGACACGCCAGAGGCGAGAGCTTCTCCGTCGCCGTGCCTACACCTGGCGGGGGCGAGCTCGCGTGGACTGAGGTCCAGAGCAGGTGAGTGGTGGCAAGGGCGCGCTGACCGAAGGACATTTTGCAAGTGGTACGTCTTGAAGCAGGAGTGACATGCAGCCGGAGGGGCCATTACGCGGCGTGACTCATACCAGGCTCAACACCAAGCTTGAGGCGCGCGGACTTGAGCCCATGACGTCGCTCGACAAGGACTTCAGTGACGGCGTCAAGCTTATCCAAGTGGGTGCGACAAGGAGACTATGCTGACACAAGCTGCTCGTAGGTATCGCGTCTTGGCTCGGCGCGCGTGGTGGCGACTAACGGCAGGAAATAATGTCAGAGACCAGCCTTGGCCGATACACTCGCAAGCCCGTTATGCGGGTGCAGAAGGCGGAGGTGAGCTGGCGAGACGGCCGCAATTGACAACAGAACGCGTCGAAGGCACTTCAGTTCATCCGCGACCGCGGCGTCAAGCTCACGAACATTGGTAAGAGCTTTGGCTGGAGAGTTCCGCTGACACTAGGCCCCGAGGATATCGTCGATGGCAATCTCAAGCTCATCCTGGGCATGGTATGTGTATTATAGCTGCAACTTCAGCCGTAAATGACCGCCCAAGTTGACCACAGATCTGGACACTCATCTTGCGATTCACCATCTCTGGGATCACTGAAGAAGGTCTCTCAGCCAAGGACGGCCTGTTGCTATGGTGCCAGCGGAAGACAACGCCTTATGCCGAGGTGAACGTTCAGAACTTCCGTCAGAGCTGGACAGACGGTCTCGCCTTGTACGTTGCCCTAGTGTCATCAGGCTTACATTCCCCAGCTGCGCCCTCATCCACCGGCATAGACCTGAGCTGCTTAACTGGGACCACCTCGACAAACACGACCGCCGTGGCAACACTGAACTCGCCTTCAAGATTGCAGAGGAGAGCTTAGGCATTCCGGTCAGTCCGAACCTTGTGATTCGCTAACCCACAGCGGCTGCTTGAGGTATCCGACATATGCGACGTTGACGTTCCCGACGAGCGCTCTGTTATGACCTATGTTGCCGAGTTCTTCCACAAATTCTCCTCTGAGGGTGAGGTTGGGATTACCCCACCGCTGACAACTAGACAAAGCATCCACCGGGGCGCGCCGCGTTGAGAAATTCGCCGAGGTCATGAACAGCATCAGCACCGCTCGTAACGACTTCGAACGCCGCATGACCGCCCTACTGCGCGCCCTGGACAAGACGCGCAGAGCATGGTCGGCCGCGGAGGCTCCTGCCTCATATCCAGACGCCATGGCCCAGAAGACTGAATTCATGGAGTATAAGAAGACCAGCAAGCGGTCATGGGTTCGTGAACGTCAGGAGTTGGCGCAGCTGTACAGCAACATCCAAACCAAGCTACGGACGTACTCTCTGCGGTCATGGGAGCCCCGTGAGGGCTTGAGGCTAGAGGACCTGGAAGCGAGCTGGGCCGACCTCATGGCTGCTGAAGTGGCACACAGTCGAACCATCAACGCCAGGATCCGAGAGTGAGCTCAGGATGCCTTGCGGATTGCTAATGTGCAGCATTAAAGAGGCTCTCCGCAAAGAATTTGCGAAGGTCGCTGAAAGCTTCATTGAGCGAGTACGCAAGGTGGAGCAGTCCATCGGCTCACTAAGCGGCGCGCTACAGGTGTGTCAAACTCGTCGTCTTATCGTCGCTGATATCAGGACCAGAAGAAACAGCTATTGCTCCTATCCGAACATCTGCCAGCTCTACGTACATTCTTGGTCAACGACATCGACGAGGTGAACCAGCGATGCGTCGAAGCCAAGGTCGACGAGAACGACTACACAGCATCGACATACGAGGATCTTGAGTTCGAGTTGGAGATTGCCGAGGAGGGCCTGCGCAAGAAGATTGCGTTCGTGGAGAATCAGGTATGCCAGAGGCTGCTCATCACGTCACCCTGCGTCACCCTGCTTACAAGTAGATGATCTCGGCATCACACACCAACATCACTCCGGCCAAGCTGGAAGAGTTCGAGGCGACATTCAAGCATTTCGACAAGGACGGCACCAACGTGAGATTGTCGTCTGCGTCCTCAGCTGACTCTAGACTCTGACGGTGTACGAAATGCACTCGGCCCTCGCCAGTCTGGGCATTGTGTACCCAGATGAGGAGGTCGAGGCCATCTACGCGCAGCTGGAGAGGCAATTCGGCGCGATGACATATGAGGCATGGCTTACGCTTTTGGTACGTAGAGGAGGGGCCGCGTACGCAGCTAACCGCAGGTCGAGATCACAAAAGACGATGCCTCGTCTGCGGACCAGCTGCGTGAGGCGTTCCGCGATGTTGCCGGAGACAAGGGCTACGTGACCGAGTCAGACCTAAAGTTTGCCAACCTCTCGGCAGAGTCCGTCCGTTACCTCGCAGAAGCAATGCCTGGCGTGCCATCTGAGGCAGTTGGCGGAGGTGTACCAGGCTTTGACTGTAAGCTGCTTGCAGGTGCAGCTGCTGACTGCAGACTACGGGTTCCTGGACCAGTCATTTGCGAGGACTTCGGGTTAGATGGTCTGCATTGTGTAGGCATAGATGGTATGCGGACATTTGGACCTCAATTTGCATACACGTGAGCAGTGGACAGTGCGTATGACAAACGCCCAAGGGGACTGACTGCCTGGGGGATGAGGCACGGACGGGATCGTCTCACTGCCGAGTCACCAGTGGCTCGCGATGCGCAAATGGGCGAACTGAGTGCTCGGAGCCACTGACGTACTGACGACTCTCGGTGAGAAGAGCGGACGGAGATCACTAAGATGAGCTTGAGATACAGTGGCATTGTGGGGTGTATTCTGAAACTCGGGATACATATGCTACCTCTGGGACTTGGACCTTGCAATCATGACTGGCCTCACCGACAACCGCTGGTTTGTCGATGACGCTTGAAGGGTTTGGTATGCACCAGCCACAGGCAGCGCCTTTGCAATCTCAAGCGCGCGGCTTGCTCCACAGCCCTTTACACGATGACCACTTTGCACTGGTGGCGGTCTGCATATGCCAATGCCTGGCGATAGTCATCGCCTTCGAAGAAGACCGCTTTGATATGCTCGCGCCGCTCGCCCACCCGCGAGAACGCCAGCAGGCGGCCGGCATGATTATCATGGCAGAGATACACCCGTTTCTGGAACCACGACATGTACGTGCCCGCGACAGCCTGATGCGGTGCAGCCTTTAGCCATGAGCCATGCTCGCCCGTCTCGTGAAACGCGCGCAGCCTGCGTACTCTGAGCACGCCGTTGATCGCTGCGTTGAGCGGCATAGGATACCCCGCCGCAAGGACGCGGAGGGCGTACCCCCGCTCGGCCTCGGCATAGTGGTACTGGAAGTCGGCGGAGGCGCTGGCGTCCGCGGGCGGCTCCACGTCGCGGAGGTCCGACAGCTCGAGGCCAGACGCCTCCTCCGCCTCCACGTCTTCTGGGAAAAAGCCGTCGACGGCCACGCCGTCGAGACGGAACACGCCGGGGAGCATGAGGAGGAGGCTGTCGTCGGGCGCGCCGACGCTCTCCTCGGCCAAGAAGCGGGGGAGGAGGACGTACGCGCCGGCCTGGACGGCCGCGGCTGCGCGCGTGCGTCCCTGCACGCCGGCCTCGACGCCGTCGTACGCCGGCACCACCTCGAGCACGGAGAGGATGCTGTTGACGCCGGAGGGGATCTTCCACCGCTCGACGGCGCGCGCGCGCACTTCGAGCCCCGACGCGGGGCTCCCGTACACCGCGGAGAGGAGGGAGGTGAGCCACAGCTCGCGCAGCGCATCGGGCACGCCCGGTTCGTCCCACAGCGCCTGCGCTTGGGCGCCGACGGGGCCGAGCTTCGCGACGTAGGTCTTGAGCGCGACCTTGCTTTCCGCTGCGGCGTTGATGAAGAAATGGATGGAGGGTGGCGGGGCGGACGCGTCGTCCCCGCCGCCCTCGACTGCCGGGCTCTGCGAGAGGGGCGGGATGTCGATTGCGCGCGCGAACTCGGCGACCCAGTCGCGCGCGATCATCTCCAACTTGCTGCTCGCCTGGCGTCAGCGGCGCACCGCAGACGGACTCACCTCGTTCGCAGCGAGGATCTCTGCGCGGACAGCCAAGTCCGGGGCGACGGCGCGCGCAGCGTACGCGCCCGCACCCGCGAGCACCGCCCATGGCACGGCCGCACGGGCGAGGCGGGCGCGCGCGCGCGCGCGCACCTGTCCGACCGAGAGGGTGGGGCGCGGCGCCTCGCCGGCGCTCACGTACTCGAGCGGCGGCGCGCCGGCGCGCACGACGGCGACGGACGGCGGGCCGTCGCCGAACTCGCACACGATGCGGGTGGGCCCCGCGCCGCGCGGCATGTATGCGCCGACGCGCACTTGGGCGCCGAAGAGCGCGGTGAGCGCCGCGAGCAGCGCCTCCAGGCCCGTGAGGTTGCGGATGCGCACGTATGTGTGTGCGTGCGCTTGCGCGCGGCCAAAGGCGATGAGCGCCGCCGCGAGGTCGCGCGCGCTCGCGCGCCGCGCGCCACCGCCGCCGCCGCTGCATTCCAGCACGGCCGTGTACCAGTCCACGTGGCAGGCGACGTCGTCTTCGACCAGACACATGGTGGGCGCGTGCGCGCACGCGTGCAGATATGCCTCGGGGAGGTCGGCGACGCGCTTGAGCGCGTGCGTGAGCGCGATGAGCTCGCGCAGGAGCGAGAGCACGTGCTTTGGCGGCGCGGCGCATGCGAGCGCGCTTACGAGGAGGAGCAGGGCGCGGCCGCGCTCGCTCTCGGCGAGCTTGAGCTGCGGTGAGCGCGAGGTAGGGGAGACATACCTGAATCGTCGGCACGGACTCGGGGAGAATTTGGGCGAGGAAGCTCGACGCGAAGCGCCCGTGCAGCGGCGCGGCGTGGGTTAGTGCGTCGGCGAACGGCTCGCGGGGGCGGAGGGAGAGGGCGCCCACCAGGCGCCCGAGGACGTCGATGTCGAGGCCTTGCTGTGCGAGCGCGATGCCCATGATGCCCGTCTTGCTGACCGCCGTGCCGAAGTCGGTGGCGACGCGCGCGACCTGCGAGATTATCGCCGCGGAGATCAGTTCACCCATGGTGACGAGGCGAGCGGGCGAGCGGTCGCGAACCGTGATGTCGGATGTCGGAAAGAACGGCGGGTGCTAGGCACGGCATAATTACGTTGGGACTCGAGTCAGAGTCTGCAGTGACCGCAGCGTGGCGGCTGGCGAGTACTGGAAATTGTATCATCACGCGCTTGCGAGATGCTCATCTCCTGCGATGTCCATGTTGATGTGTACGATGGAAGGAATAGAACTGGGGCACTGACCCCGGACCGACGATCAGTTAAGCATGACCCGTGGCGCCACTTACGCTTACAGTACCTAGCACTCAGCCGACATGCCGATATGCCCACGCTTCGACTCTCAGATGTATCGTTGCATGACCAGTAGCCCCCGGCACGTGAAAGCGATTCTCCCAGTCATTCGATCGGTGACAGCGGGAGGGACGTAATCACTGCCCGGTGATCTCTCGTCGTAGAGCAAAAATCACAAAGCTTCTCAGCCAAAATGAGAACTCATTGACTCAGGCAGTGTCCATTATGAGGTAGCTTGAACGCCGAGTCCTGCGATGCTTTACGTGTCGCCGACTCTGGCCATGTAATGCACCCATGGTTGCAGCCGCAACATGGCCACTGTGGCAGTGCCCCCATGACCCCTATGCCCCCCCCCCCCCTCTCTGTCATAAGCCCAAGGTTACCAGAGGTCGGTCACCGACGATGGATCATGCGCCGACCTCCATTGCGACGCCGAGGCCCGAGTGCCAGTCCCGCCGTGCACGACGGACCGCGTTCACAAGTTGCACTCTCCGCCCCTCACCACCCCCAACCCCCATCCTTCTCCGCCATCAATGCATACGACAAGAGGCATGGGCCAGACAGAGCCCAGAGCCCAGAGCCCAGCCCCAGGCGGCACCCAAAGTGTGGTGGGTGTGGAGACACAAAACCCAGAAAGTAATACACACATGATACACGCTAGATGAGAAACAGATAGTGCAGGCCGCGGCCTAGTTCTTCCACGTGTCGGGCCCGAAGTAGGTCTTGCCCTCCGGGAGCGAGTCGCGCGCCTCGCCCTGCCAGTCCATCGTCTTTTCGTACACCGTATTGCCCCACCAGTTGAGGTCGGCCTTGGGCAAGCGGAGACAGAGGAAGATGACGAGCAGGCCGGCGACGGTGCCGATGTCGAGCGACGCGCTCAAGACATAGTTGTACCGTGCCCACCAGGCGAAGTAGTAGCGGCGGATCCAGAACTGGAAGACAAAGCCGACGACGAGGAAGGATGCAATGTTGATGCCGGACGCGGGCGGGATCGAGAGGCACACGGCGAAGACGATCGAGGGGTTGATGTGCCGCACGATCGACTGCGGGTAGCGCCGGCAGTAGAGCCAGAACGGGAAGGGGACGATGGCGCCAACGAGCATCATCCACAACTGTGGGTTGTAGATGCCGCCCTTGGAGAAGAGGCGGGCTGGTCCGATAAGGCCCCTGGCTGTCAGCTGAGGCTCCGTGTGAAAAGGGGAAAAAAGAAGGAAAAGCTAACCAAATAATGCTGGCAGTGAAGCTGGTGTACGCGTTCTGGCAGATGAGCTGGGCACGCTGGTCCGGCTGGCAGAGGTCGGGGATGGTGTTGAACATCCACTCCTTGACGCCGACCTGCACGAGACACGAAAGCGAACACGCAGTCATCTGGCAGATGAACATTGAACGCGGCGGGATTTTCATGTAGTGGCCCAGCTTCATGTCGCGCGTAAAGTAGAGCGCTTCCGCGAGCGTCTGGACAGCGAACGTCTTGAAGACCTGATGTTAGTAATTGTGCGAAGGGGAAGAACGCACCATGCCAGGGATAGGCTGGCCAGGGAAGGCGTAGCCGGGGATAAGCTCGGCAATGAGGTTGAATGTTGGCTCGAGGTTGGACATGGCAAAGATGATTGCGACGGGCACGATGTAGGTCCAGGCCATGCCGATGGCGACAAAATAGCCCCATACTGGCAGACCTGTCTTGAACACATTGACGCTGACAACGCCCATGGCAAGACAGGCGCCGAAGATGGAAGCGTACCACCAGTCGGGGACCTCGCGGTACTTCTTCATGAGCTTCATGTGGATGTCCTCGGGCTCAGTCGACATCTTCCACATGATGCGCCAGAGACGGGGACCATGCACAAGTGCGGTGTACACGATGAGCGAGGTGGTGAGGGCAAAGGCGAGCATGTATGTGACGTTGAAAGCAGCCGTAAGGTAGACCTGCGAGTACGCGGCGTATGCCGTGACATTGAGCTTGTTGTCCGTGCCGAGAACGCGCTCGACCTCGTACACGTTCTGGAAGCGATCGGCGGGCTGGATTGCCGAGATAGGGAGGTACCGGGTGTACCAAGTCTGAGATGGTCAGCGTAAACTATCAAGGGGTTCTCACGTTGCTGTAGTACAGGAGTGGCGTGATGAGCCAGTAGAAGAGGAGGAACCCAATACCAATGTTGACCTGCGCCCACCACGGCGCTGCGAGAGGAGAGCCGACCCATGCAATCTGGGCCCAGTCAAACGAAAGAATGCCCATGCCCATACCCGTGCGGACACCCATGAGCTGGTTGACCACGTGGTTGCGTGGCGCCATCCAAGTGGCGTACGAGAAGTATGAGAGGGCGGTGAACAGGTATCCCGGGAGGAAGTAGTAGAGGAAGGCCGCGACGGACATGACGAGGAAGAAGCGCTGGCGGCTCATACCGCCAGTGCCAATGTCCGACTCGGCGTGCAGAGTGTTGAGAATGGTGGTGGTGACGAGTACACCGGGCCACAGCATGGAGGCGGGCCACACGACAAAGCGGCGCGCGATGCCAGCAATGGTGAGACCGGTCATCTGGGTCGCGAGAATGTAGGTGAAATTGAAGCCCAAGCCGAGTGGCGTTTTGTAAAACAAGTCGAGCGATGTGATGGAGAACAGGCCGTAGGCGGGGAGAATGGCGACAGTGGCCATCATGACGATGACGGTGTGCTCCTTGACATTGAACGGGCATGGGTTGAGGCTGAAGCCAAACCCGCCGAGCCAGGGTGGCAGGCGATAGTCTCGGAGTGGAAGAGACCAGGCGAGGAACTTGCCGAGCGGGTACGCAATGATCTGGACGATGAGAAGCGGGAACTGGGGAGATGGATTGCGGAAGCTGAGGAACGTGTTGCCGGCCGCGCAGATCATGCAGAGTATCATGCCCAGGAGGTATGCGCGGAGAGTCATGGCCGGCATTTCGGGGTCATCAATGTTGGAGACGGACGCGCGCACTTCGGCGTATGGGCTGTCCTCCTCCCAGTCCTCGGTGCCGGTGACGCCGTCGCTGTCGGTCGAGCCCTTGAGTGCGCCACCAACACCGTCGCCCCAGGTCGTCTTGCCGTCTGGCACTGTCATGTCTCCACTAAACTCGGTCATGGGCATGCTTGACCGACGCGTGAGGCGCGGCATATCGGTACCCTCAGATACGGAAGATGAGATGACACTTGCCGTGTCGGCTGTGACTGGACGCATACGCATTCCGCGCGTCGCGGTCTGGACAACGGCCTCGCTGTCAGCGGTTTGAGGTGGCGCAGATGACACGGTGCTCATTGCAGTCATCTGTGTGTCTGGCCTTGTGCCCATGGGAGGTGCTCCCTCGGCCAATGCATTCTGCTCGTCGCGCCATTGACGGAATCTGGTGAATGGGGCATTGTTGAGGTTGAAGCGACCACTGAAAATTGGAGGGTGGGTGGGGTCGTAATCAATGTCCTGCATGTGACCGGCCATGTCGATGCCTCCATATGGGGCAGTGCCAGGAGTCGTGTTGAGTCTCTTGCGCTTTTTGCCCGTGACGCGAGGAGGCGCGGCCGGGGTGCGGGCGGTGGTGGGACGGTTGAAGGCGAAAACATCGTCCTCAGCCTCGGAGCTCTTGCCCGAGTCGGACAGCACCTCGGCATCAAACTCGCGAGTGGGGTGGTATTCAGCATCGTCGTCGGCGTTTGCCGTGTCGAGACGGAGTTGGGATGCGGGTACGCGCCAGCCACCAGCCGAGTCAGGAGGATTGTTGTTGTTGTTGTTGTTGTTCGGGAGGAGAATCGAGGTGGATGACCCAGCGTGGTTTGTCGAGGACGAGGTGGGATCGAGAGTGGCGGGGGAGTGGAGAGGAGGCTCGACGAGAGGGTGGTTCATGGGCGGCTCTGGCCTGTCGCTCTGGAATGAGACGGACCGAGCGTGGTCGAGTGCGAGGGGGGGCGGGGGTCTGGGCGAAGCTTCTGCGAGCGAGATCTGCGGCACAGACCAAGCGTCCTCTTCTGGAACTATTGCGTGACTGTAACTCGGGCCTTGGTGCGGCGTGTTCAAGGTATCGGGAGGAGGCTGAGCGGGAGCTGCACCGGGGGGCAGCGCATGCGGTTCAGCAGCTCCAGGAGGTAGACGATGCCCTGCGGCGCCGGGAGGGAGGGACTGTCCTTCGGTAGCGGGTGGAAGCACATGCTGTTCGGCTCCGGGCGGCAGAACGTGCCCTTCGGCGCCGGGAGGCAAGATATGTCCATAGCTTGGGGGGTAGCCTGTGGAGTCGGGGGTGAGGGGGCTGGTGGGTGTGCGGGGACGTGTAAAGTCGATGGGAGCGTCCTCGGCGTCGGCCTCGCTTGGGCGCCGCTGCTCTGACTGCGACATGATGCGAGGTGGACTGGGTGTGAGCGGCATGAACAGACGAGGACAGGAAAAAGTGAGGAATGTGTCATGTGCCGAGGCGCGCGGCGAGGAGCAAGGGAGGAGGGTTGTGGGGGTCAATGTTTGTGTGTACGTGAATGTCGCGAGTGACTGCCTCGGTGTCGTGCGCGAGATGTGAGACACGCGTGCGCGCGCGCGCGCGCGTGAATGCTGGAGAACGCAACGGGTGGGTGGGGACTGTTGGGCAGCAGCATCTGATGCCAGCGCAGCAAGGCGCCAGGTCGAGGTCGAGGTCGCGCGAATGCGCAAGCACACGACTTGTCGGCCTCTGTCCCCTCGTCGCGCTCGCGAGCGTAGCTGGCAGCTGCTCGGTATCGCGCGCCAATACTCCTCTGCGGCTCGCCAAAGAAGTCTTTCCTCCTCACCACCTGCTGTGCGCGCGCCGAAGTATAGTCGTGGAGACTCACTGGAGAGTAGGTGAAAGCTAGTGGCTGCGCCAGATGGGCTCTGGTACGCAGTGCGCACGGCGGTGCGCTTGCGCTAGCGGCGAGTGGGTAGCGGTGTGAGGGAGATGAAGAGAGAGGTAGGTGGAAAAGGTTGATGGAGGGAGGCAGGTACAGGCCCGCAAGAGGGGGGGAGGGGGGGGGAGAGGAGGATGAGACTGGCGAGAGAGATGGGAGAGATGGCGATGGGTCGAGTATAAGTAGGAGATGAGAAAGAGATGTGAGAGGAATGCGGCGAGGAGGATGAAAGAGATGGAGAGAGAGATGGAGAGAGAGAGAGAGAGATCAAGACGATGAGGACGAGGACGATGAGGACGACGAGGACGAGTGGAGAGGAAGGAAGGAAGATTGGCGTCGGCCCTCTGCTCTGATAGGGGGGGGGCCATGATCCAGGGTCCATCGTCCAAGTGGCCAGGCGCAGCGGCATGGGAGCAGAGCAAAGTGCCCAGACCCCGCACCCTGATACCCTGGAATATTGCCTACTCGCTCTTGGCCATCCTCTGCTCTGAAGCCTGGGTATTCAGGGTTTTGGAAGAAAATAGGGTTTGGCGGAAGGAGGCGTTGTGTCTCCCCTCCCTCTGGTGGTACACACACACACTCAGGGTCAAGAGGTCGACATTAAGGGCTTATCTACCACTTGTCCTCCTCCCTCGGGTCTCCCGCCCTTGATGCCCTGGATGCCCTGCCCTTCCCTCCCTCCACGGGCCAACCTTGTCTCTCTTCTCTTCTCTTCTCCATCTCTCTCTTTCTTGATTTCCATCCACTCGCTCTTGTTCCAGACGCTTGTTCCACATCACCACATCAATAGATCCAGCATGCCGAATCGTCCGCATCGCCTCTCCCAGCTCTTCCGTGCTCCCTAGCAACCCCCCAATCTCCTCGATCTCCGCCGAGCCCCGGCAGCCACGCAGATCACCTGTCTCCCCGAGCTCAGCACGAGGATTGGATCTCGCCTTGTATCACGCCGCCGCAGCACGCCGTATGTACTGTAGGTAGACTAGCCTGTAGAGTACTATAGCTGCATGCGCCGTGCCGGAGCCACAGACGGTCCGTGGAATATGAATGGCGTCGCGGGCAGGCGAGACCGATGCCAAGCCAACGTGGCGCTGCAGAGCGTCGGCAGCTTCGAGGCTCAGCCTCAGCCTCAGCCTCAGCCTCAGCCTCAGCCTCAGCCGCGAGGTGAGTCGTGATCGTGATCGGCTGCTGCAGGAGTGCGGCCGTGCGGCGTCGTGCGACGTAGGATCTCGCATTGTCACCCAGGACATCCGCGACGCCACTGACGGCCGGCGGCAGGTGCGGGGGGGCACGCGGGCGGCAGGCAGGCGGCAGGCAGACGGGGGGCAGCGTTCGGCTCCGCTTGGTCTTTCTTGTATCTTGGATCTAGATCGCCATGCCTGCTTCCATGTCTATGATATGTTGAGCGTGGCAGCGGCAGCGGCTGCGACCAGCGTCCAGCGTCCAGCGTCCAGCGTCCAGCGTCCAGCGTCCATGGTTTCATGCCTCACGCCTCCCGGCTTGCTCACAGACGACAAAACAGAGATCAAGGGACGCCGCTCAGCCTTTCAAGCGCAGACTAGACAGCGAGCTCTCGAGCTCTCGAGTTCAAGAGCTCAAGAGCTCAAGAGCTCAAATTACTTGGGTCGCATTTCTTCCGCGGTTCTGCCCGATCTCCCTGTGGCGTGCGCCCTGTTCATTGCTGCTTGCGCGTCCTCTCTCTCTACCTCGCCGACTGCAGCTTGCTTGCCATTCATTGCCTGTGGCAGAAGCGTGAGATGAGCAGCAACTGCGTGCATGATAGATAAAGATATGTTGATGGTTTGGAAGACCGTGCCTGAGGCCGTGGCTGTACCTGCCGACGGAATCGACGTTTCCACTCGTTCCAGCGTTTCCACTGCTTCGATGCCATGCATCGCCACACTTTCCGACATCCGACACCGTTCTCATCTCATCCAACTCCCAACTCCCCAGCGCTCGCACAGCCACGCCGCACGCACAACTCCACGCCACTCACGCGCGCCCCCTTCCATTCCCCTAAACAACCATCTAACTTGATACATGCCACATGCCACATGCCACTAGTGCCCCTCAAACTCGTACTCGATACCAGCAGCTTTGATGCGCTCGCGCCGCGCCTCTTGCCGCGCACGCACCCCCGCGTCTGCCTTGGCCTGTTGCGCCTTTGTCCGCGCCTGGCGTCAGATGCCGGAATGGGCAGGGGAATGGAAGCACAAGCCTGGCCGCGCAGGAAAGCCTGGCCGGGAGGGCCAGGTGGCCAACTCTGGATGCCAGGTGGTCCAGGTGACAGGTGGTCCAGCGCCAGCGTTCCAGATACCGAGATGAAACGTCCGAATCTGTAACGGTATGCCGTGGAGGCGGCATGGAAGCGCGGCCACAGCTGCCCGCCGCACAGGCTCAGAACTTCCAATGATCCTAGATCGAGCCTTGATATTGCAGCTCGTAGCTCGCAGATCGCAGATCCGTCGAGACGAGAGACGAGACGAGGGAGACGAGACACGCTCGGTCGCGCGCGCTTCCGTCTCATACCAGTCTCCTCCGATCCTCCTCCTTTCGCACTCTTATGGACTCACCTTGTCATTCCGGACCTTCTCCAGCCGCGCGCGCGGCACCTTGCGGAACTTTTTGTTCGCGCCCACCCACAGCTCGGGGTGCACCGCGTCCTTGGGCACCACGGCGCACTGCAGCAGGTGGCCCATCAGGAGGTAGTTGTGCATCGTGTCTGCGACGATCTCGGCCACCGGCTCGGATGAGAACTCGATGTATGCGTAGTGGCGCGACGCGCCGGTCTGGGGTTAGGTGAGGATGCGTCGGATGGGGCCAGACTCATCGGCAAGGGCGATGAGACAAAGCCAAAGGCAGTCCATGCCACTCACCTTCGGGTTCCGCGCAAGCCGGAGCCGCGTCACATCCCCAAACTGCCCAAAGTACTCCTTCATCTCGTCCTCGTAAAACCCGTGCGGGATGCGACCGAGGTACACCGTCGCGCGGGGCACGTTCTGCCGTCAGTCCCACGCTGGAGCGCCCTTACCTTGCGCTTCGCGGCGCGCTTCAGGCGGTCCGCGACGCTCGCGTCGTCACGCGCATGCGGGAGCTTGGAGACCTCCACGCGCTGCCCGGCAGCCTTGACGGCCGCGTCTTCCGCGTCCGACTCGTCGTCGCTCGAGTCTGCGCCGTCAGAGTCCGACGGCGCGCCGATGAACGACTCGTCGTCGGACTCGGCTTCGGCTTCGGCTTCGGCCTCGGCTTCGGGTGTAGGCTCTTTGGCGGCGGGCTTGGCCGCCTTGTTCGATGCAGGCTTGTCCTCCTTCGCTGGCTTGGTCTCCTTCTTCGATACAGGCTTCTCCGTCTTGGCAGGAGTCGCCTTAGGCGTCTCTTTCTTAGACACAGGCTTCTCCTTGGCGGGAGTCGCCTTCGGCGTCTCCTTCGACGCAGGCTTCTCAGCAAGTGTAGCCTTAGAAGTCTCCTTCTTCGACGCGGGCTTCTTGGCCGGCGTAGCCTTCGCCGGCGTAACCTCAACCTTCTTGGACGCAGCCTTCGCCGGAGTCTCCTTGGGCGCCTCCTTGAGCGCCTCCTTGGACGTCTCCTGCTTCTTCGACGCTGGCTTGGCCGCCTTCACAGGCGTCTCCACCTTGGCCTTCTTCGCCGTCTCCTTCGGCGCATCCATCATCTCCTCAGCCGTCTTGCGCTTACTCCTCGTAACCCGAGGGGACGGGGCAGGCGCATCCGCGGCAGCGGCCTTCTTGGCACGGGGAGGCATGGTGGTAGGTGAGTTGGAGTGGGTGTAGCACGTCGAGATGGCCCACGCCTCACGACATTGTTGACCTGGGAGCCTGGCGGCTCAGAAATTCTCGAATGTGGAGGTGTTAGGTAACTCCACGTGGGCTTGATTCCGCAGAATGCCGGTCCGAGCGAGGATTACTAAGCCATTAGCCCAAATAGTACTACAGGTAATCGCCAAAGCTAACCCTGTGCCTGGAAATTACTCCACTCGGTGAATGCGGGCCGGGATTCCGCTGTCCGTCGGCCGACTCACTTTCAGCTCGTTCTCTCTCGATCTCTCAACTTGTCAACTTTGCCCACTCCAGCGCAGACGACGACAGTTGACGGCGCGGCGACCCTCCTTCTTTTTCGAGTGACCATGCCCAAGCAGTGGTTCCTCGCCGCGTCCGCCGCGCACGGCGCGACGGCCCACCCCGCCTCCCCCACCCCGGGCGAGCCAAAGTGCTCGTGGCCCCCCGTCGTCCTCGACCCCTCGCGTGACTTTGACTTCTCCGAGTGCTTCGAGCTCGCTGTTCTCCTCCCAGCCCCGCTGATCTTGACCTCGCTCGTCGCAGGCTTCCAGATCATCCGGCGCCGCCAGAGGCTGCGCCGCACCGGCGAGGGCAGCCTTGACTGGGTCACGCGCGGCTCGCGCAACGAGCGTGTCGCGCGCACCAAGACCTTCCTCCTCGCCTTTTCTGCCGTCCTCGCCGCCGCTGCTGCCGGACTAGCTGCCGTCCATCTTACAGCTAGCCCCTACGCATTCGTCCATTTCTCTCTCCTCGCACTTACGTACGCACTCCTCTCCTCCCTCGTCTGGCTCAACCACCACACCTCCCGCACCTCCAGCACTCTTACGCTTCTCTTCTTCCCTCTCTATGCCCTCGTTACAGCTGTTTGCGTACGCACCGCCGTGCTTACTGGCGCATTGAGCGGCGAGCACACCCTCGGCGGGCGCTTGCTAATCGCACGCGAAAGCCTGTGGTTTGCTTCCATCGGAATCGGCGCCATCGCCTTCGTCTTAGAGCTCTACTCCCCCGAGACGCACTGGAGCGGGTGGCGCACGCTCCTTGGTAACGGCAAGATTCGCCTCGAGGACGAGGAGGACGAGGCCGCGCCTCTCATCAAGGACGACTATGAGGCCGAGAGCCCAGTCGCTACCGCCAACATCTACGAGCGGCTCACCTTCTCCTGGCTTACGCCGCTTCTCAGTCTTGGCACACGCAAGTTCCTCGGTGAAGAAGACATGTGGGTTCTCCCGAGCGACGACAGCGCCGAGGCGCTCAGTGAGCGGCTCCAGCGCGCATGGGACCAGGAGCTCGAGCTCGTCAAGGCTGGCAAGAAGAGCGAGCCGAGCCTCAAGCGGGCCATCTTCAAGGCTTATGGCGGACCGTACGTTATCGCCGGCGTGATGAAGGTCATATACGACCTCCTGTCCTTCTCGCAGCCCCAGCTCCTCCGCCTTCTCCTGCTGTTCGTCGGCAGCTACGGCACCGACCACCCGCTCCCGCCAACCGCCGGCTTCGGCGTCGCTATTTCCATGTTCATCGTCGCGAACGTTGCAACTGCGTTGCTTCACCAGTACTTTGACAGGTGTTTCCAGACCACGATGCGCGTAAAGACGGGTCTCATTACTCTCATTTACCGCAAGAGTCTCAAGCTGAGCCAGGGCGAACGCTCCGGCCGCACGTCGGGCGACATCGTCAACCTCCAGTCTGTCGACGCTGTGCGCATCGGCGACATCGCGCAGTATGGTCACATCGCTTGGTCCGGCCCGTTCCAGATTATCCTCGCCTTCGTCCTTCTCTACCGCCTTGTGGGGTGGCAGGCCTTCGTCGGCGTCGGCGTCATGGTGTTCTCCCTCCCTCTCAACACGTACCTCTCGCGCGTAAACAAGCGCCTCCAGCGCCAGCTCATGAGCATCAAGGACGTGCGCACGCGTCTGATGAGCGAGATCCTGAACAACATCAAGAGCATCAAGCTCTACGGCTGGGAGAAGGCGTTTGCCGACAAGGTCTTTGACGCACGCAACAACATGGAGCTCACCATGCTCAAGCGCATCGGCATCGTGCAGTCGTGCTCCAACTTCTTCTGGTCGACCACGCCGTTTTTCGTCGCCTTCGCGACCTTCTCGAGCTACGTCTTCACCTCGGACCGCCCCCTCACGCCCGACATCATATTCCCTGCCCTGTCGCTGTTCACCCTCCTCGCCTTCCCGATGAGCGTGTTCTCCAACATCATCAACAGCATAATCGAAGCGCTCGTCTCGGTCAACCGTATTGAGAGCTTCCTGAGCGCGCCCGAGATTGACCCCGCCGCCCGCAAGCTGATCGAGGGCGAGCCCAAGGTCGGCGACGAGGTGGTGACCATCAAGAACGGCGAGTTCCGCTGGGTTCACGACTCCCTCGAGCCCACGCTGCAGGACATCGACGTTGGCGTCAAGAAGGGCGAGCTGCTCGCCGTCATCGGGCGCGTGGGAGACGGCAAGTCTTCGCTCCTCGGCGCGATGCTCGGCGAGATGACCCGCTCCGAAGGCAGCGTCACTCTGAAGGGCGAGGTCGCGTACTTCTCGCAGAACTCATGGATTCTTAGCGCAACGGTCAAGGATAATATTGTGTTTGGGCATCGCTTCGACCCCGTCTTCTACGACAAGGTGTTGGACGCCTGCGCCTTGCGGTCTGACCTCGCCATCCTTCCCGACGGACACATGACGGAAGTGGGCGAGAAGGGTGTGTCCCTCTCGGGTGGGCAGAAGGCACGTATTTGCCTTGCCCGCGCATGTTACGCCCGCGCCGACATCTACCTGCTTGACGACCCGCTCTCGGCGGTTGATGCGCATGTCGGACGGCACATTTTCGACGCGGTGATCGGTCCCAATGGCCTGCTCAAGAACAAGGCCAGAATCCTTTGCACCAACGCTGTCAATGTCCTCCCTCAGGCCGACCAGATCATCATGCTCCGCCGCGGTATCATTCTCGAGCGCAACAACTATGCGAATGCCATGGCAGACCCATCCAGCGAGCTGTACAAGCTTATCACTGGCCTGGGGAAGCAGACTGCGCGCGGGGAGGAGAGCGGTGCGGCGACGCCGACTATCGTTGCATCCTCGGAAGAGGAGGACAGTGACGAGGCAGTCGACGCCGACGAGACGGACAGCATCCGAAAGCGCCGCGCAGACCGGCGGGCCAGCACGGCTACGCGGCGCGCGTCGATCCTCTCCCTGCGCCAGGCCAAGCGCGAGGCGCTCCGCGACCTCCGCGAGAGCGCCAAGCCCAAGGAGCACAGCGAAAAGGGCCAGGTTAAGCGCCAAATCTACCGTCAGTACCTCAACGCGGCTTCGTGGTGGGGCGTGATCATCTTCGTCGGCTGCATGGCCTCGTCGCAGGGCATGGGCATCCTGTCCACCTACATCCTCAAGCTGTGGGGTGCCCTCAACGCTGCCGCCAAGGCCAATGTCCAGGTCGCCAAGTACCTCCTCGCGTACGCGATCACCGGCTTCTTGCAGGGCGCCCTGTCCGTGCTTGCCGTGGGCACGCTGCGCATTTACTCGGGTCTGCGTGCGGCTAAGATCATGCACGACCTCAGTTTCGGGAGTCTCATGCGCGCCCCGCTTTCCTTCTTCGAGCTCACTCCCACCGGCCGCATCCTGAACTTGTTCACGCGCGACATCTTCGTCATCGACGAAGTCCTCGTCATGGGTCTTGGCCAGTTCTGCCGCACTGTCACCCAGGTATTCTCTGTCATTGTCGTTATCGGCTTCGGCGCGCCGCGCGTCCTCGTAGTTTTCATCCCGCTCGGCTATGTTTACCGCATGGTGATGAGGTGAGTCAATCGCTGCGAGCGCACACCACAACCCCAGTATCATCCTGCTGACATCAGGTACTACCTCGCAACGTCGCGCGAGCTGAAGCGTCTTGACGCAATCTCACGCTCGCCCATCTTCTCCTTCTTCGGCGAGACCCTCGCTGGCCTCCCAGTCATCCGCGCGTACAACCAGCGCCCCCGGTTCATCGCGAACAACGAGGCGCGCGTCGACCGCAACCAGGCATGCTACCAGCCCGCGATGTGCATCAATCGCTGGCTGGCCGTGCGCCTCGAGTTCCTCGGGTCGTGCCTGATGTTCTCGTCGGCCCTTGCGTCCGTCGCGATGACAGTCTACGCGACCGGCTCGATCGACTCGGGCCTTGTCGGCTGGCTCATGACGTACACCATTTCCGTCACTGGGTCGCTCAACTGGCTCGTGCGCACTGCATCCGAGGTCGAGCAGAACATTGTCTCCGTGGAGCGCGTCCTTGGCTACGCGAGCCTTGTCGCCGAGGCCGCCGAGGAGGTACCGGAGAACAAGCCGCCTGCATCCTGGCCGCAGCGTGGTGAGATCGAGTTCGACGCCTTCTCTATGCGCTACCGCCCCGAGCTTCCGCTCTGCCTCAACAAGGTGTGCGTGAAGATTAGCGGCGGTGAGCGTGTCGGCATCGTCGGCCGCACGGGTGCAGGCAAGTCGTCCCTCACGCTCGGCCTCTTCCGTATCCTCGAGGCAGCTGGCGGGCGTATTCTGATCGACGGAATCGACATTGCCACCATTGGCCTCCGTGATCTCCGCTCGGTGGTCTCCATCATCCCGCAGGACCCGCAGCTTTTCGAGGGCAGCCTGCGTAACAACATCGACCCAACGAACAAGGCAAGCGACGCGGCGATCTGGCAGGCCCTCGAGCAGGCCCACCTGAAGGACCATGTCATGGCGAACATGGGCGGCAGTCTCGACGCTGAGATCTCTGAGGGCGGGTCGAACCTGTCCGCTGGACAGCGGCAGCTCGTGTGCTTCGCCCGTGCTCTGCTTCGCAAGACCAAAATCCTCGTGCTGGACGAGGCCACGTCCAGCATCGACCTCGAGACGGACGAGGCTGTGCAGGACATTCTTCGCGGCCCCGACTTTGCGGGCGTGACCACGCTCACCATCGCGCACCGCATCAACACGATCATGGACTCTGACAAGGTGCTCGTCATGGACCAGGGCACTGTTGCAGAGTACGACAGCCCGGCCACCCTCCTCTCCAACCCCGACAGCATCTTCGCGGGCCTGGTCAACGAGGCCGGGTTGGGCAGCAGTGTACCCCCCTCGCGCGCCACCAGCAGGCCGGCGAGCGTTAAGGGCGGCGCGTAACGGCATTGCACCATAGGTTAGAGATCGTATTCCAAGCACATGCATTAGGTTCCAGTTTCTATTATCAGATTAAGGCGGCAATCAATGGATGAGCGGAACCAAAGTCGCCGAAAAAGTGGCATCCCCCACACTCAGGGGCGCTGTCGATGCAGCGTGGCCACGCAAGCATCGGAAAGCAACAACACTCCATCTCCTCCAACTCGTCCTCGTCTCTCCCCATCTCCTCCCTCCCTCCCCTCCAACTCTCCACCCCCTCCAAATCCATCACAATGGTGCGCGCCGTCGTCGACACAACTAACAACAGTCGTCTGGTGTCCAGCCGGTATGCCCCTGCGCGCGCCGTGAAGAAGACAATGCTGACGCGGTACCCCCCGACTGATCTGCTCGACGCGTCTCGGCACGGCCCGCTCTTCTTCTACCTCTGCTCACTCGCTTCCCGCGCCGCTGTTCGCTGTTCGCTTGACGCTCGACGCACCACCCCGGTCCTCCGCTCATGGCCGCCCCCCGCCCCCCCCCCCCCCCCCCCCCCCCCCCCCCCCCCCCCCCCCCCCCCGCCGCTCGGCCCCCCGCCACGACCTCTACGATGCCCCGTGCGCCGTCCACTTGCCCACGCCCCATCATCCTCACCACATCGCCCACTCACGCCCTCCCACCCGTCAACCGCCCTCCTCCTTCCCCCTACTCCGCCTCTACGGCCTGCCGATGCCTCCCCTCCTCCCCTACCCCCTCCGCCTGCGCCCCCACCCGACCCGCCCGCGACCCCGCTCCGCCCACAACACAATGCCGTCTCTCAACATGCAGGTTGCCGAGTGCCTCGAGAAGTACCAGGAGCTCAAGACGGGTAAGAAGCTCGCATACATCATCTACGGCATCAGCGACGACAAGAAGTCGATCATTGTGCTCAAGACGAGCGAGAGCCGCGACTTTGAGGACTTTGTCGCCGACCTCCCCGAGACCGAGTGCCGCTGGGCCGTGTACGACTTCGAGTTCGAGCTGCCCGGCGAGGGCAAGCGCAACAAGCTCGTCTTCGTGCAGTGGTGAGTTGCGGAACGCGCCACCGCCCGGGGTGCGGGGATGCTGCCGGATGCTGTTCATCCTACAGGCCGCCCGTGCCCTTGCGCTCGCGCCTCCGCTCGCGCTCGCGCTTGCGCTTCGCTCACCCCAGGTCGCCCGATGACGCCAACGTCCGCAACAAGATGATCTACGCGTCGTCCAAGGACGCGATCCACCGCCGCCTCGAGGGCATCCACATCGACCTCCAGGCCACCGACTACTCTGAGATCACCAAGGAGACGAGTGAGTCCCCAGACACGCAGCGCTCACACCAGTCCTCGTCAAGGCCACCCGCCGTTAAGTTAGCCCGACGCTATTCTAGACATGTCTTTACCCATGCGACGAGATGTTCTGGGCCGCGAGATGGCCGTGGGAGCTGGAATGGAGGTGGAGGTGGAGGTGGCGGCGGCGGCGGCGTCCGTGGATCTGACTCGGAGCGAGCGTCGGTGGCCGGCGCAGTATGAACGTCGTCGGTCTGTCGTGACCTGCTCTGCGAGTCTTGTTCCGATAACTGACTGCGTCCACTTCGTCTGTTTCCGCTGACGCGTCTCACACCGTTGGGGGACGAGATCCCTCCCGCGCAGGAATGCGCTGTCTGCCCGCCTCTCCTCCCCTATCTGCATACCCACCGAGGTACCGCGCGCCTGCATCAGCCGTCGGACAGTCGCCGATACAGCGTATGCCATGGACGCGCCTGCTCCTCCACCAGCTGGTCACGTGGCGTGACCGAGGCTGTGCGATGTGCTGCGCGATGAGGTGCAGACTGCGGCATGCCGCGGTGAGGTTGGATCGCGCTGTGCTGGGTCAGCGCGGGGGGAGATATGCCTGGCAGGCGGATTTCGCGTGGATGTTTGCTTTGGCGGCACCAGCGCTGTGCAGTATCAGATCTGGATGCCGCTGTGAGATATTCGGCCCGATGCGGGCCTGCAGCTGTGTTGTCAAGCCCGCCCCCAGAATCTGTACACATTGCTGCGGCCAATCTCCTCAGTCTTGCCTGGCCGAAGTACTGGCTGAGATCCCGATGCACACACTTCTCTTATGTCAGCTGCCCCGCTCACCCGTCTCGTCGACAACAACCACTCCCAGCCCCTGCACCACACCCTTCATATCAAGCCATGCATATGGTAGTGTACAGCGCGCGCCGTGTCGCCGACTGGCAGTGAAAGCCGCGGATGGATCTAAGAGATGAGACTATGCTATGCGCTGGTGCAAGATGTAGTGCGTCGAGTGTTCGTGGAGTGCTCGTAGAGTGCTCGTGGAGTGATCGTGATGATGACGTGGTAGTATGTCGTGGTCTATGATGAGGGGGGTGTTGATCGTGAGGTGAAATGGAGCTGTCGCATGCACTCGGCGTCGTACAGTGGAGTGTAGTTGCTTACACAGCCATAGAGAGGAAATCGAAGCCTTCGGAGCCAAACTCAAAGGGCAGGTCGAGGAACAGGTCGTTGGGAAGCTGCACCTGCGTGTCTGGCGCCATGGGGCCCAGGTTGAACTCGAACATATCGGACGACATAGGCGCGTACATGAGGTTCTTAGAGTTGCTGAAGCTCAGCGAGGTGTTGTTCCTCGATGCGGTATCCTCCGGCGACAGCGATGATGAGACCGACATACCCTGTGGGCTCTCGGTACGCATGTTGCTGCTGGGCATCTGCTGCATGTGGTTCGGGTTGTTGCCAGTACCCCAAGCGGCAGACGGAAGCGCGTTGTGGTACACGTGTGAGCGTCGCTGGTGGTCCATCGCTGCCGACGTCATGTACTGGTCAATGCGGAAGATGTGGTCGCGCAGCTTGTTTGCGATGCCTTGGATGTTGGAGAGTGACGACTCCAGGCCGCCAACCAGATCCGCCATGGCTAGCAGGACATTGCGCACCTGCAAGTACGACCAGGGAGACAGCGGAGACTGGATCACGCTGCCCAGCAGATGTCCTACTCCCGCGAGGTGGTGCATCTGCCCGTCAACATACCTCAGTGGCTCCACTTACGATCGGAGAGCTGATGGCCTGGATGTAAGCCGTCGGCACATTGGCAAGGGCGTCCAGAAGCTCGCCAGCAACGGCGCAGCGCCGCTCCACGGTCGCCTCCTCGAGACCGAGCATGACCATCTTGACCGTCTGCATTGTGACCATGATGTCGGCGGCTGCGGTCAGCCAGCCACCCTCAGTGACGTCAACGTACCCTGGAATCCATAGCGATCTTCTTTCATGTCGCCAGTCATAGCCTTGGCGCCCTTGAAGTCGTCTGGCAGTTCGGAATAGAGCTGCGCCACGAGATCCAGGCCCTCTTGTGGCGTAGGGCCTGAGCGCGTTGAATAAAAGTTGGTGATGTGGGATGTGTTGTCTGCGTTGAGGCGCTTGATGCGCAGTTGGTCCAGGGAATGCTCAAGAATCCGGTACAGATCCGTCGTAAAGTTCCAGCCCACGAGGTATGAAGGGCGGTTGGTACCATTGATGCGGGGCACAATGCCTCTCTCTGTGATCTCGTCGTCGTCATGTACGAGCGCCGGGTAAAGCACTGTGCTCTGCGCCTCGCGATGGCGCACCACACCTCCGAAGGTGGTGGCGGCGTAGACGTCGACTGTGTACGCCCCCCAGAACTGTGGCGTCAGTGTGTGCATGACGCGGTAGAGTCAACTCCGCGGGAGAGCTTCCAAAGGAGAGGAACTTACCAGTCGCCGGCGCTCCTGGACTTCGGTTTCGGGAAGATTAGATGGCCACCGAGCCTCCAAATGGAAATTGTCGTTGCTACACAACGTCATGTAGTCGCCGAGGTGCGTCGTGAGCTGACGCACGTTGCCGAATTGGATGCAGAGCATGGCGAGAATAACCTTGGCGCGCTTGTAGTCAAATTCAGACGCCTGACTCAGGTCGGCGGGGAATGTACGGGTTGCGGCCTCATAGAACGCCTCGCTCGACGGTGTGTCGGCAGTGAGATGCGCCTTAACCCCGGCTTCCGCAAGATAGCTCGCGCCGTCACGCATGCGTGCGCTAGTGATGGCGCACATGGCCATGGTGACGGCATAGAAGGCCCGGTCGTGCATGTACCTGCGGACGCGGATATGGGCGTAAAAAGACGGCCAGTGGAAGTAGGGTAGTCTGTGCAGGTGGTTAGTAGCCGTTACAGGGTGGGCAATGGGGTGTCAAAAGGTGGCGTCTGCCACAAGAGCCATGGCGCTTCCGCAGGGTCCGACGCCTACCGAGCAAGTGGCTACGGCTGCCTTGCACGCCTCGCCCCCCTTGGCCGTCTTCAACTTCTCGGCCTCCACTCTTCAACAAACAGCCAAGAGTTTGTCCGAGTGACGCGTAGCGTGCGGAACCAGCGTGTATTGGCTGCGAGAAGCCTGACTTACATTGGGTAAATTATGCGATGATACGCGTCCACGAGTGTCTCGATCGCTTCGGGTGTGCCGACGGGTTCGTACTTCCAGGCCGCTGGAGACTGGGGCGCACCCATGTTGTTCTTGGCAGACAGAGCGCGAGGAACGGGCTGCGAGGAGTCAGTCAACATGTCCTTGGTATTGTCGTCGGCGCCCCCGCGCCCCACACGCCCCACACGCTGGTGGGCGCGCAGAGCTGTGCTGCTGGCACTCACCCCTCGACGCTTGACCGGCCGCTGGTACGTGCATTCTGAGCCGAAAGCCGCGCACGGGCCGCAAACTCCTGGAGTCGGGCTTCTCGAGCACTGTGTTGTCAGCCGACTGTGTGACGAGTGCAGACAGCAATCGTAGATGGACCGGCCAGCAAGGCCTGACGTCCGCATTCAGATTACAGATCCGCAGAGCCGGGGAGGCCGACAGCTGCTGGATTGTTCCAATGCTTGTAGTTGCTCCCCCAGGCCGAGGGAAGGTCGACTCACCTTGACACCACTGCGATGGCAACGATCGCAGGCGCGCTTGAGGTCAGCATATCCGACAAGTCTATGCTAGTATACTCACGGTAATTCTGCGTCGCTTAAGAGGTTCGGACTGCTGCGGTTGAGGTGGAGATTGACCGCTGCTACCACCCATGTTTGGAGCGTAATGAATCAGATGCGGCTGGCTCTGGAGCGAGTTGTGGCCAAGGTGGCTCTGGGGCGACTGGGCGGGATAGGTAAAAGTCGGGGAGGGGAGCTGGGCGAGCTGGGGAGTGAGGAGATGCTGATGGGAGGGAGTTGGGGGGTAAGTTGGGTGCGGCGGAGGACACGGTTGAGGGAGTTGGTGTGGGTGGTCCGAGAGGGAGTGAGAGGACGAGTGGTGGTGGTGAGAGGGATGGCTCGAGGCTGGGTGGGGGAAGGACGAGTGAGAGTGAGAGTGCGGGTGGGGAACAACAGGGATTACGTGTTGAGGTGGAGGTTGAACTTGTCCACTCCCGCCGTATCCTCCAACCGCGCCCCCATGTTGCTGGTGGTATAGGTATTGATCCTCGTCCATATCGTCACAGATTCACCGCGGCGTGCGTGCGGACACTCGACCAAGAATTCTGCGAGGAGGCGGAGAACGGCGTCCAGGTGGTCAAGGTAGGTGCGGGTGGTGGCGGGTGGTGAGGGGGTGATAATGAAGGCACGCCGGAGAGTTTGGCGACTTTGGGGGAGGATCGATCGGGTTGTGGCCACTACTCGCGCACTCGGAGATGATGTCGACGAAGGAGCTCGATGCAAGAGAGTAAAATGGAAGAGAGATGTTGAGATGTTGAGCACCAAATCGAGCTTTTGTCCAGCTGAATCAACAGTGTGTTTGTGTGTGTAAAGGGTGATTCGGCGTCTTTCCTATCGATATATTCAGGAAGGACGAGAGAGAGTGAGTTTGGGCCAAGAGGGCAAGAGGGAAGAGGGCGACTAATAATGGGTCGAGAACGGCTAAACACGGGGCGCTAACATGTAATGCACCGCGGAGGGGCGGTGTATGTGAAGTGACGACGAAGAATGGGCCGTGGATGGCGTCCGAGGTGTGTAGGCGGTCGAACGAGGTGTGCGCGTTGTCGCTATGGGCGTGCAGCGACCTCGAGAGGGTGGTGGAGGTGGGGCATGGGGGGAAGAGGGTGCGACATTCACATTCCACCATGCTCTTATCCACGTCTACGGGCTCGCCCAGTTCTCGCATCGTTCGCACGCATCATGGCTGATCCAATCTACGCCGTGCAGTTGCCCTCACCCTCTCACCCCCCTCGACGCAGGTTCTAACCATACTCTCTGACGCTGCGGCCCCCGTGCCATCCGAGCTGAAGGTAAACACCCCCTCCTCCCCCCCTCTTCTTTCCCCCATCACTCGTCCCCCCCCCCCTCCGTCCCCCCTCGTCCCTCCAACACCTCGTATTCCCTCCTCACCCCCTTGGCAGGTAGGCTCTGGCTGCAACCGCTCTCCTGGAATCGGCCCCACGAGATTGTGCCTCGTCGGCCTTGCCTGCTGCGCTTGCCACACCGATGGACAGACGCGCCAATGGCCCACTCGGACCGGTGCAGCGCGCCACTCACCCATCGTCGAGCGCCTCCGGCAATCCCTTGAACCTACACGCCATCCCTCTCGATTCTCGATCTCCCAAGGATCCCACGGCTTCCAACCCTGGGAACCATGAGGGGGCTCGCCGTTGGCGTCATGGCTGAAGCACCTGGAGGGCTAAAGACCCTGCGAGTGGCGAAGTCATCTCCTCACCCTCCTCACATGGCGGCGGACAAACATCAAGCCTCTGCCTGCGCCTGGGGGCTGGGGCAGGAGTAGCCCAGGACCAGGAACGAATGCAGGGTGGTAAGAAGTGCAGGAGCACAGGAGGCAGCAAGGATCATACAGGCCGTAGGACTCGAGCGCCGTGCCGGCGCGACGCAGCCTGGTGCAAATAGCGGTCGGTGAACAAGCCCCGAAAAAATAAGAAAAAAAGTGGCCCCGACGCATCCCCGAGACCCCGATGCCGGCGGGTCTGTGCATTCTCTCGGCGTCACATCATGCACCCAGACATCGCTCATCTCTGTCGCTCACATCCTCAACGCCACTGCCACTATTGGCGCACGGCCACGGGCATGTGTAGGCGGAGGGAGACAGCATGCCGCATCGTCGCAGCTCGTCTGCATCGCCTAGGGGCTTCCAATTTGCCTGCTCCGAAGAAGCCTCCAGGCATCCAGGTATGCCTCCTCGTCAGGTACAATCGGCCTGAGGTTCCACTGCCTTGGGTAGCATCCGAGAACCCGCGCGGTCGCACCACCACCCCCATACGTCACTCGCCCTCCCTTCAAGATCCTAGTCTACGTACAGCTCCACTCGCGGCGTCGGAGGAAAGGGCTTGCTGCGCGCTGCGCGTTCAAAGCTCAAGCATGGGTGTGGGAGCGTGAGAGAGGGTCGCCCGGGCCTTTGTTCGGGTTTCTGGGTCAGGCATCAGGACGCTCTCGGGTGCGTCACGGGAGGCGCAGGTCGATAGGGGCAACTTAGGCAACTGCTTGTTCACAGGGCGCGACGGGTGGCGTCGATTCATCTCTCACAGCCGTCCAAAAGCGCTTCGCATTCCTCGTCCTGACGCTGTCTATACCGCCACACGCGGTGCTCGATGTTCAGTGGCGCCAACTCTTGCTCCTGGCAGCCCAGAGCTACTGGATCGTCGAGAATTCGCCCAGCCCTGCCATTAGGCATGCCCTTGGTGAGCGACAAGGATCATGCGATCATGCGGGCGATCAGTGCCCGTGCAGACGGTCGGGTATGCCGTCCGAGAGAGATCGAGAGCGCGAGCTCGCGTTGCCTGATTCTTCTCGGGGCGTCCGACCTACTCCTGATTCCAGCAGAGCCGGGGTGGCGACACTTGCGCTCTCGACTCTCGGAACCAACCAAACTGCGGCACAGCCGCTTCATGCCAAGACCTGGGCGAGTGGAACGCATGCACGCAGCATGGTGGCTCCGTTTGACTGCTCCGCTCGACTGCTCGCGTGCGATACGTCGTATAGGGCCTTTGAAGGTGGCGGCCATGCATGCCGGAATTCAGGGCGGCAGCTGTGGAAAAGTTCGAGCGCGAGTCGGCGTGTAAGCTCGTCAACTCGTGCGGCCGGTCAGTGCTGTATTCCGAGCGCGAGCTCGGTGATGTCATGGTATGGATTCGGAGGTGCGAGCGACAGGTGGAGCAAGGCGCACCCCCAAGCCCAGGTCCACACGCAGCCGCTGCGCTGGCGTGACGGCCTCGGCTCGCACCTGTCCTTGGAGGACGCCACGCGTGGCTGCTGCCTGCTCGCTCATGCTCATTGATCAGCGCCCCTGGTTCCGCAGCGCATGCCCGACGGCGAGCTAGGTAAGCGCGGAATCGCTGGCAGTCTGGAACTGGAAAGATTGTGGATGGTTGACGCGCGCTCCGCAAGTCCGGAATTGCGTCTCGCAAAGACGTGAGGTGGCGCTCAGGAGTGTTGCACGGGGGCGAAGACAAAGAGCTCAGGTGCGGAGACAGTTGGATGGGGGTGGCGCTGCGCTGATGAGCCCCGCGATGGTTGGTACATGAACACTGGGCGATGGGTGGCAAACGGTGCAGAGAGCTCCTCTTATGTAGCTATGAGTCCGGGAGGAGCGATGATACACCTCCGACGCCGAGACCGAGGGTGGCGCTGGTGAACGCGCTCTCTGCTAAAGTCTTGATCCGCACCATTCATCGCTTCATCGTTGTACAACACGTCCCTCTCATCGTCGAAGACTCCAAGCGGAAACAATGTACCGTTCAACCTGATTCCAGGAGTGAAGTTTGGAACCATGCACAGACGACTCTGTCCGCCGTGCAGTTCTTTGTCCACACAATGTTGACGGGGTGGCGCCGCCTCATCCAGGGAGTTTGACCCTGACGACCGCCAAAATCTGGTCCACGGCCTACATTGGCCCGACAGCTGATTATGGGATTGGTGCTGGAACGACAGCAGACCTGGAATCGAGTGGAGCGCGGCTCGTGCTTCGGCGGGGCGGCGGGCGGCGGACGCTGACCGTGGAGCCATGGTACCGAGCTGGATCTATCCGTCTCCGCAGTCGCCCAGCGCCATAGGGCTTGCTCCAGGTCGATACACGACTGCCACGGACGCTCTATCTCCAACAAGTCACACGCCGGTTTACCCGTCGTCATCGCAGAGACGCACCCTGATCTACATCACTGTCAAGGGAGAAGGCCCGGTCACCTTATGGTAGAGCGGGCGGACTTTCGACGACGGCGACGGCGAAGCGGGCAACTTGAAACGCGTGGTTGCGAGCTTCGGAAATCGCCCTCCGTCACAGAAAGATAACCCGATCAACAAGCAGGGGGCCACATTGGAGTCCTATGACTGGTTACCTTAAGCTACTATCCCCTTGCACAATCCTGAATTTGTTGGCGACCCATGCCCTCACCCTTGCAAGTCTTGGGATTGCAACTGACGTCGGACTCGTTGCTGCCTCTTCTTGGCATTCCTCACAATCTTGGCACTCCGCACCTCGGCTTATTCGACGCCTCCAGCCTTATCTCCCTGCCTCGAGGTCCTCTGGAACTTGGGATCAGCGACTGCGAGGGTAACAAAGTGAGAGGGGAGTCACCAGCGCCACTGACGATCTCTGAAAAGTTGGGAGCTTAGCGAGCTGCATCGCGTTTGCTGGTCGTTATTCGACCCAACGAACCAAGTGGTAATAATTCTGCGACACAAAAATGCTGCGGAAAGTCCGCGCATCGTGGCCCTTGCGTCCGATCTGCAAATGCAGGAAGGCAGACACAACAGCCCCAATACTCCGACATTTCCTGGAGCCACGGAGCATTGAGCGGCGCTAAAAAAATCATGCAGGCAGACTGCCCTCGCGATGAAGCTGGTAGAAGCCGTCGACAGGGCAGGGCGCTTCGTCCCCAACCGATCTGACTACGCCGTCCAAAGGGCATCGAGAAGTGGGCATCAGCCGCTTGGCGATGAAAGGAACAGCCTGATATTCCGCTCCACGTTGCGCACATTGAGCTGGGACCGACGGCCATGCCTCGGAAGAAAAACGGCGATATCAGGTTGCCGAATCCCAAAGCAGAGAGTGGCATCGTCTCCCTCGTCCGCGTTGGGAAACAGCGTAATCTGCTAAAACGATCACGGCCACAGTGCGGCATGTGATTTTGACCAGTCCTGAACTCTGATTCCAGCATCATCAAAGGGCGACACGGCCATTTTACAGGCTAAAGGCTGGCCATAAGACCCCCGTAAGGCCAAGGCGGCAGGAAGACTCGTGGCGGCGCAGACAGTTGGAGGCATAGCCACTTTCACTCTTGATAGGCTTCAGTTTGTGGCTCGAGGGCTGTCGAGGGCGAAAGTCAGCTTGAACCTCAACCGCGTGGAGCGAACACGCCACTGCATATACAGGGCCGTGCCGTGGCACTGGATGTGGATCAAGAAGGGAGGGGTAGTCGGCGCGATCGTAACCAGACCGCCGGGCACTCTTCGCATTCCGTGTCCCATGTGCGCAACAAGCCCTCGGATGCGTTGAGGCTGTGTTGGCTGCGTTTACGGGTGTCGTGGGGACTCAGAAGGACAAGCCACAACGCTCGCGTCGTTCCCCTGCAACGTGTCCCGCCGGACAGTCTTCGGTACTTGGGTACAGTCAACCCGTCGACGGCCTTTGATCCACCCCCGGTTCTCTCGATGCTCAGGACAACGATCCGATCTGGTTCACGGTCAATGACAAAGTCCGGTCACCGGCAATCGGTGACACGGGGCCATGCTCGGATTCGGTGAGCTCGCGAGCTCGGTGTCTGCCATGACGCTGGCATGAGTGTGGCATGTGCAACCCCTCACCCCTCGTCCCACCAAAATACATCTTCGATTCAGTTTCGTTTCTCACCAAGCGCTTCCTATTTCCCCTTGTTGTTGAGCGCTCCGGAATGCACCAGCATCATTCTACCATACGTCTCGCCTAAATCCTCTATTGTTCGGCTTCCACACTGACTCTGTTGAACGGCAGAAAAACCCTGCCCTACTTCTCAGCTTCTCAGCATACCTGTTCTTTTTTCAACCAAAGTCCGTCATCCCATTTGAACTCCAGTCTCTCTACCAGGACTTACCCGTGAAGAAGTAAGTAAGGGGATGCGCCGACTGCACATCCGATCCGCCACAAACAGCGCGGAATGCAGAGGGTGCCACATTCCTCTTCGCCGGCCAACCAACCGCCACTGACACCACTTATGACCGCGTCCCCCACTCGCTACTTCTTTTTGATCTTCTCCTGACCCACAGGGCTACAACGAGAAATATGTCACACGTAGAAACCCCGATCTTCGTCTCGCAACCCGTGTCAACAGAGTGACGCGTCCCACCCCCTGCTTGCCGATATAGACATGGCCCTGGCCTTGCAGATCCCGCTGACCCCGCTTTGCACCCTGCCTGTCAACATTTCCCATGTCGTCACTTCCACTCATCTCAGATCGCCCTCGCCCCCGAAGAAGCCAAAGTGACGGCGCGGAAGTGGTGACAGCGCAGAAGTGGTTCTCGTCGCACAATGGTGATTGTGCTGACATCCCGTTGACCGCGCTCTTGCTGCCATGCTGGTAGCATGGGTTGAACGGAGCGAGTGGACGGCCCCGACAGGGTGTAAACTGATTGCTCACTCCGGACACGGACCTCCGGCCCCGGGCCAATCGCTCACTACGCTATTCCTGGCCTCCAGTCCCCGGTCACTGCAAAAAAAGGCAGTTGAGCATCGCTGCCTCTCGCCAAGACAGTGCTCGTAGCCAGGCCTAATTACGGCCCTCCGTGTGCGTCGGAAGCGGTGAGCGCATGAGCGCCGCAGGATGTCCCCGCATGTCGTGGCAGTGCCTCTCGATGCGGAAATGTGTAGAGTTCAAGTCCTGAGACAAGATTAAGGTTAACTCAAATGCAATGCTGTCGAGGCATGAAGGTGCCTTCACTGACTTTCTAAACATATAGTAGTTACGGCCTTGCCAACCATTCCGCAACTTGCTTGCGACGCTACAACGTCGCTACTCGAAGGCAGTGCAATCTACAATCCTCCGCAAATTTCGGTACTCTGAGACCGCTTCATCGTCGACGCTAGACTGCATTGCGCCCGCCGCTGGACCATAGGCCTGCCCCCGAAGTTCCAGCTTGATATGCATCGCCGCGATCCGCACCTGAAGTGAAGACATTGCCAGACCCAGAACTCCATGCGCTCATGCCCTCTCGCTCTGACAGTGTGCACGACAGGATACACGGCCCTCGCACAAGTCTCCGACTCTGCTCTGGCCAACGCAACACCGTAGGAAAGGTTATCGCAGATGTTTGATTCCCCGCACGATAAGCGTCATCTGCTTTCGTCCTTCCCAGCGACGTGGCAAATGAGGATGGCTGATGACATGGGGACGGATAAGAAAAGGCGGAAGGTAAACTAACATTACAGCTGATCAGTCACAAAAGATGAGGTCATGGATCGTGACAGTGGGTGACGAGAGTGTAACGCAAAGATGCTGGCCTGTAACTGTAACGGGTGAAGTGTACCAAGACCACGGAAGATGTGTTTTGGTGGACGGATTGGGAGATGAGTTCGGAAGCAGAGCTACTACTATCCGTGACTGCTGACAACGATCAAGGTGCCACACTTCCTCTCCACCCCTGCGCCTGGCGATCAGAGCTGCAGGGTGACAGAACCGAACGAAATGCTATCCTTGGCGCCGCCTGATATGGGTAATTGCGAGGAATGGATCGTCAGCGAGGTTACATTCCGTGGCTAGCACCTGGCACCACTCGTTCCTCTGAACAGGGCTCATTCCGTGCGGTCGCAGTCCAACCTAAAGAAGGCGCTGGGGGTGAGGACTCTCCACATCATCTCACGCTTCTGCCGTCTCGACAGTCCCTTCTGGAGCGGACGTCCGAATTGTGGACCGCTGATTACCCGCTAATCGTGGCCATCTTGCGGATGTGCGGCAAAGATCCCACGTGCAATGCATACATGATAGTACATCTAGACCTCAAGCCCGTCGTCCTCCTCTCCCTTGCCGCCGTGGTCGAACTTGCGCTTGCCGCCCACGCCGCCTCGTGCGTCGCGTGACACCTTTTCGCGAAGAGCGTCGACATCGACGCTGTCCCCCTCCTTCGCCCACTCGCACACCAAGTGTCGCCCAAGCAAATGTGTGTGCTTGAGCGCATCCATCGCCCTTTGCGCTTCGGCGTGCGTCGTGAACTCCAAGAACGCGAAACCACGCGAGCTGGCCGCTCCCGTGGCCGACAGCGTGCTCTTCTTCGGCACGCGCAGGCTCTTGAGTGTGCCGTAAGCACTGAAGAGAGCGCGCACGTCCTTCTTGCCCGCCTCGAAGGGCAAGTTCTTGACGAGCAGCTTGGTACTCTTCGTCCCGCCCATCTCCGCCTTCTTGTCCTTCTCGTCCTTGTCGTCTTCGACACCGCGCTGAGCGAACTTCGCCTCCAATGTGTGGCCGTCGACCTCGAAGCCCTGTAGACCGGCCAGAGCCTGCTGAGCCTCCTTCTTAGTCTTGAAGCCCACGAAGCCGTAGCCCATGCTTAACCGCTCTCCGGGCCGCTTGGGGTCCGGCTTGGTCTGAACGCGCGCAAAGCTGAAGCCAGGCAGCGTCGAGAGCACAGACGAGAGGCGCGTGGTCGTAGTCGCCCATGCGAGGTTCTTCAAGAACAGCGTCGACCCAGCTTCGTCCTCCGGCGCGGGCTGGTCGCGCAACTCCTCGGCTGCCGCCGCAACCTTTTCCACCAGCGCAGCGCGCTCCGCAGCCTCCTTGGAGGCGGGGGTATTCTTGGCCGTGGGGTCCTTGAACATGCCCTCTGGGCCCTTCTCAAGGTACAGCACGGCGTTGCCGAGGCGGCGGTATGCGAGGGCACGGAAGGCACGTCCGGCGTCCATGGCGTTCTCAAACTCGACAACGCCGATGGTCCCAGCAGGAGGAAGAAGCACGCGTTTGAGCTCGCCATGCGGCGCAAAGAGGTCCTGCAGCGCAGTAATAGACGTGCCGTAGGGGATGTTCTTGACGAGAATAACCGTCTTGGAGCGCGGCACGCGCGGTTGCAAGCTGTCGAGCACAATGCCCTCCTTCTCGAAATATGTCTTGGTCTCGGCGATCACGTGCGTCTCAGCGAGCGCAAGTTTGACAGCGGGCGAAATGTCGTCACTCCCACTCAGCAAGTCGGCCTTGCTCACGCCCATCCGATCGGCCACTGAGGCGGCAACAGCATCGCTCTGATGTCAGCGGTGTGATCGTTGTAGTGGCTCACGTTCATGTACAGCGTCGCCCAGTTAAGACCTTTAGCGCTCGCCTGTACACGCTTCTCATCCTGTCGCGCCTTGACCTCGCCGCGCGCCTCCGCCGCCTTGCCGAGCACCTTGCCGTCCGTTGTGCTCTTGCCGACTTCCACGACTGTCTCCTGCCCAGGCCGCGCCCGACCAGGCAACACGTGCAGCAGACGGCCCTTGAATGTCATCTTGTCCAGCTTCTGACGAGCACGAAGAGCGTCGGCCGGCTCGCGAAAGAGAATGAACGCTGTACCCAGAGGCTCGCCCGTCTTCTGTGACACCGGAAGATGAACGTCGACTACGGCGCCATACCTGCCAAATTCTTCCCGCAGGTCGTCGGCTGTCGTCACAAAGGCGAGGTTGCGCACGAACAGTCGACCTGTCGACATGATGAGCGCATCTTCGGGGTCGAGCTGAGGTTCTGTCGGCATCTCGTCCTCGTCAAGTCGTTGCTGGCGCTTGGCGAGCCATGCGGCATCATCCTCGTCGTCGTCCACAGCCTCCTGCTCTTCATCCTCCTCCGCCGCTGGCTCAGCCTTCTTGCGCTTGGAGTCGGCTACCCCTGCCCCGCCAGGCGGGGCTTCATGTGGCTTGGTCGGGTCCACGCCCTTCATGACCTCCATGAACTCCTTCAGCCCCTTCTTCTCCCTCTTCTCGTTCTTCTCGGGCACAGCCTCAGCATCGTTATCCAGACGTGCGCGCTTGGCCGGCTTCTCGGGCTTCGGGGCGAGCGGCTCATCACGCACAAAGTCGACCTTAACTTTGCCGCCGCCGAACGCGAAGCTGCCGTCGAACCACTTCTTGGCAGCCTTGGCGTCCTCTTCGGTTGCGTAGCCAACAAAAGCGAAGCGGCGCTTCGGCACGAGCTTGGAGTCCGTCACAGTAGCATCCTTAAGCGTCTTGGGCTCGGTGAGCTTGGCGCGGAAGCTTTCGGGCGTGAGGCCAGGCGGGAGGTTGAGGAAGATGAGGCGCGACCTTGCGATTAGCACTGGGGTAGTCCATGGTGAGCACACATAGCCAACTTACATGTCGATGCCGGTCTCAGAGTCGTAGTGTGAACTTGATCCGCAATTCTCAAGTCGGTGCGTCACAACAAATCTGGAGGTGGAGTTCGGTGGCAAATCCTCATCCAGGCACCGTGCCTCGGGGCTGCCACGCGCAAAAGATCGCAACAAAAAAGTGAATCGGCGGTAACCAAACTCCGACCGCGATCTTCTGGATTATTGTCAGAAATTGACGGCAGAATAATCGGGCACCGCTGCCCAGCGCCCGGTGGTGCGGGGGTGCCATCGAGTTGGGTGTTCGCATCTGCTTCGGTGACCACCAACCTAAAAATGCCTGGCGTCCGCGACATTTCGTGAGTGCCAGCGACGACAGCATCGACATCGACACGCGCGCGCGCTCAGACGCGAGAGAATCGACAGCGGAAGATGGGGAGCGGCGGACGGGGAGCTGTGGGGGCCAAATTTGCCGCCCATGAGCGTCTAATGGAGCTAGCGGGCAGGTGTCTGCTAGCTAGCAGAGAGTGTACCCGCACGGAGGTGGTGCGGACGGTCTCGTGGAGTTGGTGGCAGCGCGCGCGTTGTTATTCCGGTGCGAGCGAGCGGATTGATGCTGACCCAGCGCCTTTCATGACTTCGACTCTCGCGCGATACGAACTCGTTGATTCCCTCCTTCCCTCTTCCCCTCTCGCCGCCCGACCTCGCATCCTCGCAATTCCGCTGTCTTGCGCTTCCCATGCAGCGCTGAGCACTTCATCACGGCCTACTCGGCCCACCTCAAGCGCTCGGGCAAGCTTGAGATCCCCACCTGGGTTGACATTGTCAAGACCGGTCCCCAGAAGGAGCTCGCGCCCTACGACCCGGACTGGTTCTACGTCCGTGCCGGTGAGTTGCGCGCCGCATACTGCCCATGGGCAAGGCGTTCTTGTGGAAGTTGAACTTGTTGCAACTTGCCCAAATTCTCGTTGGGAACCGACTGACAATAGCCGCCGTCGCCCGTCACATCTACCTCCGCAAGCACGTCGGTGTCGGCGCGCTCGCCAAGCTCCACGGCACCAAGCACCGCCGCGGAGTCCGCCCCGGCCACCACCGCGACTCGGCCACCGGTGTCGAGCGCAGCGTTGTCCAGGCTCTTGAGAAGATCGGCGTTCTTGAGGCCCACCCCGACGGTGGCCGCAAGATCTCGCAGGACGGCATGCGTGACCTTGACCGCATTGCCACCGCCGTGCTTGAGACCCAGCGCGACGAGGAGGAGGACGCGGTGGAGTCGGAGAGCGAGTCGGACTCGGACTCGGACTCGGACGACAGCGACTAGGTGTCTCGCTGACAGCGGGTTCTAGGTGTATGCGATTCTATCACATTCCGGGTGGCTTCGCAAGGGAGGGGGAGGGGCTGGTGGACTATGCTGTGGGCGCTGAGAGCAGGGAGTACGAGTAGGAGTGCAGTGCGACAGGAAAGGATGTCGCGCGGGTGGGGGAACAGAGCTGTCACTGAATATTGAACACCCGTCAGCGCTGATGCGCTCCTGGGATAGCCTCGATCAAGCGATCGTCATTAGGGTCGCCACGGTCGTTTTTACTCCGGAAGCTCATCCTCGGGTCTGCGTTACACGCGTAACTGACGAGAGGCGTCGCACCACCTCCCGTTGTCCGTTGCCCACATGCATCGCCTGAGCGCTCTCCTGACCTGCTCACATCACAAAGTCACAAAGGACAAGCTATCTCATAGGTATCTTACGGGCTACATGCTGGGAATTACTGGGAGGGGGAACTACAACGGGTGTGTCATGAGAAGTGCGAAGGAATCATTGTCCTGGGAACGGGTGGCCAATGCAGCACACTTGGGTAGGACTGTACTGGATACTACCAGTCTAAAAGGCCCTCTTCAGTCCGTCGAACGAGTGGCGGAGACATGGGCGGCTTGGCCACAGCCATGACTGACGGCGAAGCGCCGCGGGACGAGTACGCGCTCCCGTCCCAGCTTCCCTCGCGGCTCATGGGAATACCACCGAGCGAGGGCACGGCGAGCGAGTCCCGGCGAGCGGGGCTGGCAGGGCTGAGGGAGCTCAGGCTGATGTTCGTGGAGCGGCGGCGGCGGGCAAGCTGTGCGGCCTGGATGGTTGCCTCGCCCTCATCCTCCTCATCCTCATCGTCGGACGAGTCTGACCAGGTCTCCGGTTCCCTGTACGAGCTCTGAGAAAGACTCGTGGTCGAGAGCGAGCCCAGCGATGACGCAGACGCAGATGCACTGAGCTTGCCCCTCTGCCACCAAAACAGCCACAGCGGGACTGGGATGAGGAGGAGGGCGAGGAGGCGTGTAATTTCGGCCATAGGCAAACCGGGGCAGCGGCGCCGTGGAGGCTTTACTTCAGGCTCTGGCTCCGCGGGTGCGGGAGTGAGCTCTGGGGTGGGAATACGGGGTGTCGGGGGCAGGTGAATCGGTGAGGCAAGCGTGAGGCCCTCGGATGCGGCAGGGGGCGGGGCAAACTTCAGCGGCCGAGGTGCGGGCTCACGAATGCGGATAGGTGATGCGAGGCTGCGAGGCGCGGCCGTGCTCACGAGCTGGCGCTCAGGCGTACTCTGCGTGGAGTGGGGCTGCGGCTTGCCAGGTTCGTAGTCGGGCAACGATAGGCGAGCGAGCGCCCGGTGGCCGGGCGACCGGGGAAGAATGGAGCGAGGGAGAGTGCTTGCGCGCCTGGACAGAGCAGGTGTGCGAGGCGGGAGGGGGAGTGATGCGCGGCGGAACAGCTGGGTGCCGTCGAGCTCCAGTTCTGCGGGCAGAGCCAAGGGGCTGAAAGTCGGGCGGGTAGGTGTGGGCTCGCGGATACTCATCCACTCCAGCTGTGCAGAGAGTGGGCGCCGCCGGGGCGGCGGCGTTAGGGGCGTCGGCGAAGTCGATGGGGGCGTGCTCCAGTGTGCCACGGGCGTGGTGGGCCAGTGTGACGGAGAGGGCGGCCAGCGGGCGTGCTCGACAATTTCTGGTACCGGAGTGGGGGGACTGGGCAGAGACGCTCTGTGTGGGTCGATAGCCATGGAAATGTCGAGGCCATTCCCTTCGTCGACGTGATCGCCGATGTGCTCACTCTCCGACTGCTCGAGCTGCTCGGGCACTCCTGCGAGTCCGAGACCCCGCATGTCGGTGCGCAACAACATTGTAATTTTCGGACGTCGTGATGCACGCCTGCATATTATATCAGTAGAGGGGCGGTACTGTCAGTGCGCATCAGTGCAGACATGAGCTGTGCAACCAGAGGACGATGGTTGAGGGGAAAGTGAGCGGAGAGATGAATGTGCATGGTTGAGTTGGTTCCTGTACCTATGCCAGCATTCCCGCACAGTGTTCCCGCCATGCTTGGCTCCAAGCTCTGCAACGGCAGCCCGGGTCCTAGCGGCCTGACCTAGCGGGCTCCCGAACCCGATTCCGTCATGTCGACAACCTTTGTAGCGTCAGCGTCTCTCCTCTCATCCTCCCTCTCGACCCCAACTTTTTCTCTCCCTTATCTCTCGCATGCTCTCCTGCTTCAAGGATCCCGAAGAGCCCTTGCTGTCCACTGCGGCCAAACCAGGGTGCATTTTTTGCGCCGTGACTCGCGAGCACTTCGATGTCGTGTACGAGGTGCGTACTCTCTCGACCAGGCGTGGGAGCGTACACAGCTGGGCGTAACTGGCGGGTAGACTTGTTCCTTCCCAGCGTGCCCGGGGCCTGGCGACCCCGCGGTCTGGCGGCAAACACACACATGCAGGCGGCAAAGAGTACACGAGTTGACGGCAGGATGCGGAGCTCATCGCGTTTCGCGATCGCTGGCCGCGCGCAGCCGGGCATCTGCTCGTCATCCCCAGGCAGCACATCGGGCCCGTGCTTGACTTGACCCGCGAGCATGTCGGGCTGAGTGAGTAGGCTTTTGGGTTTCCAGCGACCGAGAGTTTCGGAGAAGATGAGACGTTGCAAGCGAGTTTGCGGTGCCGCCAGCACAGCCGCACACGCTCATTAGAAGATTACAGAGAGGGAGTGGGCAGGCGGAGGCGCGAGTTTGTTGGCGTGATGGCGCGAGAAGGAGGACACCGAACGCGGGTCCCTCAGGGTGGCTCCGACACGTGAACATTACGGCGCCGCCGAGAGATCCCACTCCCGATCACACCCAGATCCCACTCCACTCCGCACTACTGAGTAGTGGTATCGCGCACCGGACTGCACATTGTTGGCTGCGGCGATTTAGCACGTGGACGCTAGTGTTCTTCGACGCTAGTACTTCTTGACCATCTCGGCATGCCGGATCGTTTTGGAGTCACAATCACACGATCGGGCTGCACTTCCCGGCCGGCCGGCCGGTCCGCATTTCCGCTCAGAACTACTGGAATCGCTTGCTGCGCTGGACCGTACAGGCGAGTGCTTGCTGGATTCGCAAGTGTGCAGCACCTCCGTGACTGGCCGTAAGCGAGGGCGGCCATACATAAGTCACTCTGTGCTTTCACATGACGTGCACCTGCAACTCCCCTCTGGGGCTCTGGCTTGTCCGATGGATGTGAACGTCGGCGCCTACCGACTCTCGGCGTCAGCCACAATCTGAAGGGGCTCGATGGGCTGCGCAAGCCTCGCAGACTTCATCCGCTTGACGTGCTGACCCAAGTCACGCGCATGAAGGAGCGTGGGCTTGCCCTCGCACCCGGCGCCACCAAACTGGGTTTCCACATCCCGCCGTTCTCCAGTGTCCACCACATTCACTTGCACGTCTTCACACCGCCCTTCACAACTCTAGGCAAGTTGATGTACCCAGTTCGCCAGCACGCCCACGGCAAGGGGTGGAGCTGGTTCGTATCCGTCGACCAGGCGATCACCGTTCTCGAACGTGGCGACCGTATTCGGCTGCGCCGCTGCTAGCGCCAACCGATGTTCCAATGTCGGACAACTCTCGCGTCACTGTGACCGTAAGCTTGTCTCGTGAGCTTCCATAGATCAATAGGCACTTCACTCTACTCCCCGTTCCGTACCCTCTCTAATCCCCACTCTCTTTCCATCCCGGACAGTCTCAGAGCGCGGCCGGCCACCTGCCATCGCCAACACCCTCCCGCTCCCTGTAAACAACCCAGATCTTCCAATGTACACTGTTATACATCCCTTTGAGTTGTAAGTGGAAGCGTCGCCATCTATCGGCATACGGTCATAGGAACAGGAGATAGAGAACTGGGGCTCACTCAATAACGTAACCGGGAACGGCTATCCCAGGACATGTAGTTTCTTCTTGGCCTTCTTAACCTTGCGCTCCGTCTCTTTGTGTATGTAATTGCGCCAATCGCCGACGCGTTCGTCACGACGCTCTGTTATGGCAAAAAGGAGGAGGACGGCGAAGGGATGGAGAGGTAGCGGTAAGTGGGGTTCGCATAATGGAAAATAGCGTCAGCATCAAGCCTCACGATGGTCATCTTCTCTCTTCTCCTTGCCAAACGTTTCAAGCAGCGCGAACTGCTCCATCGAATGCGGCCTGGTCTGGTAAGAATGGCCACGCCGTGGCGGGCACGGAGAACGAGCAACTCACCTTCCCACGCCTTCTGCTCTTCAGCCTTGCGCTTGCGACGCGCTTTCTCAGCCTCCATTGCAGCGCGCTCGTTCGCCTCGTTTACTGCCACCATGTTCGCGCGCCTGTCGTCAGCCTACTTCCAACAAGCATGACCCACTTCTTCTCGTCATCCGTCTCTGCCAATATCAAACGCTTGGCCTTGATACGCAGTTGCACCTGGAACGGAGGGCTCATGCCAGTAACACGCGGGTCGTCGTCCTCAACCTTGGTCGAGTACCCCGATCCTAACGCCCTGCTGTCAGCTCACCACTCTTCAAGCGAGGCCTACTCCTTTAGTACCAGGGTGCGCGCATATGTCAAGATGGAGTCAATCTTCTCGCGCTCTGCTGGATCCGACAACATGCCCTCCGCCTGTGGTCAGCGCGATAGAGTAAAAAGTAAGCTGACCTTTTTCAACAAGTCGAAGGCCTGTCCGTCAGCTAGCATTCCACCACGGAGAGCTCACCTCTGGGCCCTGCTCATGCTTGAACTTATCGGGGTGAATCAGCAGCGACTTCTTACGATAAGTCTTTTTGACTTCAGAGTCTGTTGCAAACGCATGGATGTCTAGGACCTCGTATGGACTGGTGTTAGCTGCGCCGATTGGGAGGTGGAGCGGCTCATGACCTACTTCTGCTTAAAAGCTTTGAGGATTCGCTCGACCTAGCCGTCAGCACGCTTCCCACCAAATAACGCGCGCGTGGGCACTCACCTCAGCGGCTTTCATTGCATCTGTAGTTCTGGACATGGTGGACGAGGGCAGCAATGGAGCAAGGAGTGGCGTGTGACTGAAGTGTGGGATGCGGAATCGTGGCGAGATTCAGCGAGTTGGGTGGCAAACCGCAGTCTCACCCTGGCGGGGAATGTCGGCATTATGACTGGTGTGGCTGTGAGTCATTGGGTGGCCAAGTGGGACAATGCCCTCGACTCAACTCAACTCATCACTTCACCTCTCCTCGTCCTTGTTCTTCATCGCTCTTTCATCTCCCTCGGCACATCTGTTCCCCCGCGACACCTCCCACCCCTCCCGAGAAACCTCCCCTTCTATACCCCGTGTCACCCCGCCCCACTTGTCGCCATGGACGCAGCCTTCTTCCTGAAGAAGAAGGCCAAGCCCAACGCGATACGCGGACGCGTTCCTCTCCCCCCCGCAAGCTCGACTGGTCGCCCTCCAGCAACAGTAGCGCGCCCCCCTCCCCGTCCTAAAGCTCCCCTCCCGCCCCGCAAAATTGGCTTGCAGGCCGAGCCGCCACGCGTACCTACCACCAATGGCGAGAACATTCTCAAGTTCGACATCGTGAGCGCGGCGCCGGGGCAGAAGCTGCGTTTCAATATCATGAAGCTCAACTCGACCAAGGAGGTCGACCCGGGCGCTCTTCCTGCCCCGATCATGATGAACCGCAAGCAACCAGGGCCTAAGAATCTGCCGCAGCTCGCGATCGACAATGAGGGCAAGGTTATCGGGCGCTATGTGTTCGACGACGAGGGAAACCCCGTGCTGGACGAGGAAGGGAAACCTACGATTGAGAAGAAGGTTGAGATGGACATGAGCCTCGTGGGGTCAGCTCCGGGCACAAACAACAAGCGCCGCGGCAAGCGCCAGACTAAAGAGGTGTTCCACCAAGACGTCGAGGTCATTAAGCTCCGTCGCGAGGAGGCCAACCCCTGGGTTCTCGAGAGCAAGAACAAGACCCCCGAGAGCGCTGAAACCGCCGCTCATATACCTGAACACTGGGTCGGCCGCATGGTCGAGCAGGCTGCGCTCCCTACCGTACTCCTCATCAACGATGGCACTGAGGCAAATTTCACTATGATCCCCCTCGGGCGCACGTACAAGTTTGAGCCAGAGCGCCCTTTCAAGGTTATGGATGCGGACCAGGCGCACAAATACGTCAGTTGAGATTGTGTCTGAGTTGTTGGCCGACGCTGACTATCCAGTTTGAGAAGCAGGCGAAAGGAGGAGGGCAGGACCGCTGGAGCCAGCGTCAGGAGGGTCCAGGCGGCGCGTACGTGGTCAAAACCGAACGGCACGCGCTTGAGGATCGTGCCAACCGCATGGAGTGGAAGATCATGCAGAAGAAGGGCAAGGCGCCTTCGGCGAATGTGAAGCGTGAACGTTTCGAGGATGACTACGTCCGCGAGGGCCGCAACCTCGGTCGCGGCCTCGAGGGCGGCGTTGATGAGGAGCTTGACTACAATGCCGACGAAGACTTCCAGGACGACGACGATGTCGACACCTTTTACAAAGACGGCGACGACGAGGAAAAACAGCTTCAGGAGGAGCGCCAGAAGAAGGAGTACCGCATGGCGAACTACACCTTCGGTGACCGGAAGGATGAGGACGACGACGATGACGATGATCTCTTTGGTGACAAACAGAAGCTGTCCAAAGACGGCAAACGTCTGCGTCGGTTGCAGCGCAAGCAGGCGCATGGCGAGGATGCTGACATGTACGAGAGTTCCGATGACGACACCGAGAGCAGCGACGAGGACGAGGATAAGGATAAGGACAAAGAGAAGGACAAGGAGCGCCGCCCGCCCGGCTCAGCAGAGAAGAGCCACCCCGGCTCGCGCTCCGGTTCGCGTCCCCCTGACGGTCGGTCTGGATCTCCCGCGCCCCGCCTCCACCCTCCCGGCCAACGTCCAGGAGCCGGCTCGGCGCTCCTCGCCAAGCGCGCGGCGAGCCGCGGTGTTTCCCCTCGCCCACCAGGTGCGCCGGGCAGCAGCCGCGCTGGCTCTCCTCTCGCCCGCGGCTCCTCTCCAGTGGCGCGCGAGGGAAGTCCGGCTGTTCGTGCTGGCTCGCCGGCAGTGCCGCGCGGCTCATCACCTCTTCCCGGTACTCGCGAGGGTACGCCCAACCATGTCAAGCCCGGCAAGCGCAAGGCTACAGCGTCGCCGCTCGACCCTAGCGCACCTGCGCGCCCTGCCTCGCGCCCGCCCAAACGCCGCAGCGAGGAGAGCGACGCGTCCCCGGCTGCAAAGAAGAAACACAAGAGCGGGAGCGCCACACCCATGATTGACCCCAATGAACGCTTCGAGGGCATGATCGAGCGCAAGCCCGTGCTCGAGTGGCTGCAGAGCCTGTCGGGCCCCATCACGATGAAGCAGGCCGCCGGGCAGTGGGGCAAGCACATGAAGAGCTACCCGGCGGAGAAGGCGCGTAATCAGAAGCGGCTGGCCGCTTTCATCAAGGAGTTCGCCGACACGGTGCCCACCGACCCACCTACATTCGATGCCGCTGGCAAGCCTGAGAGGATGATCATCATCAAGGACAAGTACCGCGCCTAGAGGAGGCGAACAGTTGTGCAAGGGCGCACGAGATACATTCTTACTGTAGCATTGATATGAAACTGTACATGTGTAAAGTCTTGACTTGAGCCGCCCAGGCCCAGGCGTAATGGACAGCGCGAATAGGCCAAAGTTAGAGAGATCCTGCATGCTGAATTGGGCTTCTGCAGTTGCTGCCAACACTCCTCGTGGGACCCAGCAGCCGTACGAAGTACGAAAGCGATGCATAATGATGCTTGGAAGTGCATATGTGAAGGGATACAATGTGGTGGCCGCAGCCAGTTCTAGTTTCGGTATTAATGCTACAACAGATGACTCTCTTGTGCAGCGCATGCTGCGTTGGTCAGGGAGCCACACGCAGCTCAGCGTCCGCGCCTTAGTCCTACTCTACTCCTGTATCGCCGCTGGGCTAGCGCTTGAATACACCGCGGACGCTCACATCGTTGCCCGCGCTGGACGCCGCGCCCATCGGACTGGCAGAGCGACTTCCCGTGCCGACGGCGCGCTTCTTCGTGGCCGCGGGATACGCGCCATCGCCCGGACGCTTGTTTCCGTTCGGCGTGCCAGGCGCCCGGCCAACTGGCCTGGGAGTGGGCGTGCCAGGTGTGCCGGGCCGGAACCCGCTCTGGCCCGGGGGCGCAGAGGCGCGAGGGAAGGGCGGCTTCTGCCCAGGTTTGCGGGGTACGCTGAACGGCGTGCGCGCCTTTGGCGGCGGGGGGTTCGGCACGCCAGGCCCAGGCGTGCCCGGCAGGTCGGGGAGGTCGGGCGCGACAGACTGGGACATACGCGCCTTCTTGCGCGCGCGCTTTTCCTCAGCCTCTTTCACGCCGAGCTTGACGCCTTGCGCGTAGCCCTCGACTTTGACGCCGACTTCAAGACGAGCGGAGGCGAAGGCCTCGGGTGGAAGAATCTGCAACGGACCCATCGCGTTCTCCTCGGGTTGCCAGGCGTGGTTGCCCGGATCGGTGAAGTCTTTCACGAGCGGGCCGAGAGAAGGTTGTGCGGAGGGGCCGAGAGGTACTGGGTCTGGGTGTGAGTCTGGGAGCGAGGATAGAGGCGCGACCGCAGGGGCTAGACGAGAGCACTGCTAGGAGCCAGTGCAAGCACATAAAGGTGAAGGCTGAGTAGCAAGCGTACGCACCGATGCAGTCCTCGAGTAAACCAACATAGCCCTTGCTGAGCCCCTGCTTCTTCCTTGGGCGCTTCAACGAGCCGCCTGGCGCCTCATCATCTGTTTCGGGCACGGGATCGAAGTATGGTCGGACATAGGAATTGTACAGCCCATCGAGGTGAAGAAGCGAGATGAGGTCGTGCGACGCGTGCAAGTGCTTTTCGGGAAGGGCTAGAGAGTTAGCGGGGGAGCACAACAAGCCCATGGTCAGAGCGAGGCCGAAGCTAAGTCAGATTCTCTCGGAAACGAAGAGGATAGCTTGAAGCCCGATGACTTCGCTCAGAGAGTTGGGCGTGGTGATAAGGGATCGGGGCAAAAGCACGACGACAAAAACGGAAAGGATTGCACTCACGGTCCCATTCGGGCAAGAGTAGTTTGGACGCATCACGCTTGGGCGTCGAAAGGTCCATTCTCGCGGGTAGTCTCGCTGGGTGCACAGAGTCTTGCCAGGTGCGTAACGAGATGGACGATAAGGTGGAGAAAGAGGGAAAGAGAGAAAACGAGATGTGATCGATGTGATGAATGACAAGAGTTGGCGAGTGATGGTGGGATAATGGAGGTGACGGAATCAAATTGGGTGGCGGTGGACGGGGCCTGGACTCGAGTCCGTTCCCCGCGTTCCGTGATCAGCTGTGCTGTTCCCCACGTCCCCTCGCCGCCACTTGGACCGTTAACGCCTCGTGCATTTCAACGCCACTCTCTCACTCGCACCGTTTCAACTGACGCTGATACCATTGCTCTTGCAGGACTTACAGGACGTGATCACGGGCTTCAGGAGGCAAAACTGCATCAAGGGAACCAATACAATTGTACTGCGTGTCGTGCGTGATAGAAGGAGGTACGTGGACTCGGCGTCGGGTCTAGTCTATGTAGTGTGAAGGCGATGGGCTAGGGATGGAGAAATAGTGAGTTAGGTGGAGCTGGATTAACCCCAATGTATTCTATACGTCAGCCACTGACGCGTAGCCACTGACGGCGTCGCTGTTCAACTCACGGTTTACCAGCAAGGAGTTCCGCGACCACCGCAGCCGCCCCACGACTGAGCCTCGGCGTCGGCCTCGGGCTCGGCGTCCTTCGCAACGACTGGGATCAGCTCCGCATTGGCATAACACTCACCCTCAACGACAACCGGCTCAGGCTCGGCATCCTTCTTCCAGCAAGGAGTGCCGCGGCCGCCACATCCACCCCACGACTGGGCCTCGGGCTCAGCCTCAGGCTCCGCCTCGCGGGCTGCCGTCAGCCAAAATAATCTTTTCAGTGCTCACCCTCAATGACCTCTGGCTCGGCGTCCTTCTTCCAGCAGGGAGTACCACGGCCGCCACAGCCGCCCCATGACTGAGCCTCGGGCTCAGCCTCAGGCTCCGCCTCGCGGGCGACAACCTCGGGCTCGGCGTCCTTCTTCCAGCAAGGAGTGCCGCGGCCACCGCAGCCACCCCACGACTGAGCCTCGGGCTCAGCCTCAGGCTCCGCCTCGCGGGCGACAACCTCGGGCTCGGCGTCCTTCTTCCAGCAAGGAGTACCGCGACCACCGCAGCCACCCCACGACTGGGCCTCGGGCTCCGCCTCAGGCTCGGCGTCACGCGCTGACGTCAGACGCAAATCTCGTCGCAACTCACCCTCCACGACCTCGGGCTCGGCGTCCTTCTTCCAGCACGGGGTGCCACGGCCGCCACAGCCGCCCCACGACTGCGCCTCCGCGTCGGCCTCGGGCTCGGCGTTCTTGGCAACGACTGTAAAATCAGTCGCGTAATCAGAAATGTTACTCACCCTCGACGATCACCGGCTCGGGCTCGGCATCCTTTTTCCAGCAGGGAGTGCCGCGGCCGCCGCAGCCACCCCACGACTGCGCCTCGGCGTCGGCCTCGGCGTTACGCTCGGCGACCTCATCGCGCTTGTCACAGCCCCAGGGGCCGCAACCGCCACCGAAGCCCTGGAAGCGGGCGTTGTTGGCTAGGATTAGCAAAGTCCGAGAAGGGTAGCGCTGGCCGTGATCGCAAGACTAAGTTTGAGACAGAGTGGAGGAGGCGCGGAGAGTAGTGTGGAAGATGTGTAGAAGACGGAATGGAAGCACTCAGAACTCACCGATGGGGGCGGCACTGGCCGTGGCAGCGAGGAGGAGGAGAAGGCGCATAGTGAATTGATCAAGATGGATGGGGGAGTGAATGGAAGCGAGAGCGCAGCTATATAGCTGCCATTCAGAGGCGACCTGTCTCACTTTCCCACCCTTCTTCCTCTCTCTCTCTCTCTCTTCGTCCTCCCCTCCGTCGCCTCCCGCTCTCGTTGTTCCTCCTCCGCCGCCTTCAACTCTTCTTCAGCTGCGCCTGCGAGACGGTCTTGCGCGCTGCCCGGCGGCCGGCCCCACCATCAAGGTTTGCGTTCCCTGCCTGGTGTCGAGCTCAACCTGTGCCGCAGCTGATGCTGGTGCTTGGGTAAGGTGATGGCGGCGGGGTGGGCGTTGGGCGACGCAAAGGCATCGTCGTGCCTGGCCCTAGACGTAGGGATGGGATGTGCCGAGACGCAAATGGGCGCGCGAGAGGTTTGTGACGGAGTGCTGGCTCGAGCGCTTTTCAAGAGGCGGGCAATATTGCAGACTTGTGCCTTTGGTCTGGCCATTTCAGTCTCAGCCGTCGTGAATGACGCTGTGGAATTGTGGCCTGTGGGGAGAGTGGGGATGGGGGGGGCAAGCGACGGCTGACTTGAAGCGAGCTGAGGTGATGAAGGGGGGGAGGGGAGGAGGCGGCGCCGAGGGGAGAAAAGAGTACGAGGTTAGGCGGCATTCCCCAGTCTAAAGTTAAGGTTTATGCCCAGGTTGCTATTCCCTGCCGACGCATCGCGGCGGATCGCGGGGCGGAAGTGATGCCGGCTGGTGTGGTCTCGGCGATGTGGTTCGGCTCGAGCGACCCTGTCTGGGCTCCAATTCACGCCTGGCACTGGGCGCTGGTTAAACAGCGCAGCCGTGCCGCCTCTGTCACATATTCATGTCGGAGACTGTCCATCGACCTCGGACCATGCTGACGCGCCAACGGCAACTTTGCATCTTTGGGCAGGGGTTACGCCACGGCACAGCGCCACAGGCAGAGCTACCATACATGTCATTGTCCCAGTCACTACACGAGGCGTGCGCACGAAGTCATTTGGCTGATGGTGGCGCCGGAGGCGCCGGGCTCCGCACGCTCCGCACGCACTGGAGTGGGAGGATTGAAGCGAGGGGAGGGGGGGGGGGGGGGGGGGGGAGGGGTCGGAGGGGCAGAGGGGTGAAGGGGGAGAGGTCCGGGCAGGGTGGAGCTCGAACCTTGGCAGAGTCGTCTGCTCGGCGTTGGGTTCGCACTTTCGTAATAGAATTGTGCGGGAAAAGGTCACCGACGGGACGAGAATGCGCTCGAAGGAGCCAAAAGCCTATTTAATAGGATATGCTTGATGCAGTGTTCTACGATCGCCTTCATGATGCCGGCTTTGCCATCATGTAGTGCGACGCACAATCAACTCTGTCTCACGTCTCAACGTCTCAACTCTTCCCGCCAAGGCATGACATGCGTCTCAGTCTCATGGGGGATGCAGGGGTGTGCCGTGGCTGACGGTCAATGGTGCCTGGTGACCACCACCACCATGAGGGTCCATGGGCAGCGCGAGGGACATGAGGGAGGCAGGGGTGCATGTGCTCGGCGCAATTTGCGGCGTTGATGCCAATAGGGCCGCAGCGAGGCGAGTGGCCGTGGGGTCAGATGGGTGGGATTTTTATAGGGGAACGTCGTACTGCGATGGGCAGGACTCGGGGGTGCACTGGAGCACATGGACACGGGAGAGAGCGAGAAAGAGAGAGAGAGAGACGAGTCTCGGTTGACGACGGCAGGGAGATCGAGAATGAGGCCGGGGCGACGCGGCCCCGTGACGCTGACGCTCCCACCCGAAACCCGAGCGGCAGCTGACGTCTCTCGCCATTATAGCGCACATTGACGTCGCCGCAAGTGTAACGCCGATGCAGACAATAGTCTTCGGATCGTTGCGGCAACCTAAGAGTCAACTTGACGCTCGGGCAGGCCGATCCGAGCGTGAGGAGATCGTCCGATTGCAGGACGCGCGGATCCGCCGACTCGTGGCTCGTGGAAATCGTGGGATCTCGGACCGAGCGCGCGTGGCGCCGGTGTCAACGGGTGATCTGTCCCTCCAGGCCCAGCCCAGCTCGAAGCTTGTCCAGCCCGCTGGGCCCTCACGCCGAGTTGAATGTTCGGCTCATCATGTCCCGCGGATCCTTTAACTCTTGTCCTGGGACCCCCCGTCGGGCCCTTTGTGGCGGTGAGCTTCGTGGCATTGTGGCGGAGCTTCTTCGATCTTGGTCGTCGGCCGCCCACCTTTTTGTACACTTCGGCCTCCAGGCCGTCCAATGTCCTTGCCGTTAAATAATGGCGCTTGGAATGATCTTTGAGCTTCTCCCTGCTACGGGCGTGGGGTGATGATCACGCGTTCACGCGAAGCTTACGAGCGCCACTGGGCTTGTGGCTGATCATAGTTTACCGGAACGGACCAACATAGCGGAGCATTTTCCTCCGGCCTCGGACACTCCGGCGTCGAGTACGAGGAACGGGCACCCCTATGCAACGTCTAGTTATCTCCGTAGTCCTGGTCGCTGATCAGTCCCTTCCTCAATTCCTCACTCTACGGCCGCTCCAATAGTGTTTCCGGACATGATGCATCATACATGTCTCCAAAGATGACCCTACAGACCCCAGAGCGTATGAACTGCTTAGTGGTCGGCGTGGAACGCAGCGATCTTCTCCTCGATGCGGGCGCGCTTCTCCTCCTTGGTGAGGCGGACGTTCTTGCGCTTCTGCGACTCGGACTTCCACTTGGCCGTGTCCTTCTCGGTGGGGGTGAACGAGGGGTCCTCGCGGATCTTCTCGTAGGCCGAGGTGTAGAGCTCCTCGATGTCCTCCGAGCCAATGTCCTCGGCGAGGTAGGTCGAGAACTGCTTCTTGAAGCGCTCGTCGTCCTCCTCCTCAAGCGACTCCATGTACTCGGCAACGTGGCCACCGGTGATGTACTTCTGGAGAACCTCGGCGTCGATGGTCTTGGTCTCGGGGTCGTAGCCGGGGAAGCGCTTCTCGTTGTGGGGAACGAAGAGGCCGCCGTCCGAAGCACCCTTGGCGGCACCGAAGACACGGTTGCCGGTCGAGGTGCGGCGGAGACCGACGTCAAGGAAGACCTTGAAGGGGCGGGGCTCGTCCTCGCCGAGGGGCTCAACGAGCTCGAGCTCACCCGAGGGCTCGGCGAAGCCCTCGTACTTGTCGGCGAGGCCGACCTTGGTAAGGGCGCGGCGGGCGACAAGGAGGCCGGTGGCGTAGGCGGCGGTCCAGTTGGTAAGACCGTGGCTGATGCCGTACTTGCTGAGCTCCTTCGACGAAGCGTGGGCAAGAACGCAGTCACCCTGGATCTTGGCGTAGACGATCTGGCAGATCACCTGGCGGTTGGTGATGCTGAGCGTCAGCTTAATGCACTCCGCGTCGCAAGGATGCAGAGATAAAGCGGAAGCAAAATCCCTCCACCCCCGCACTTCAAAAATCTAGATCCAAGCACACCCCGTGGCACCGATCTCAGACGATACCAAAGAAGACAGCAGCGACGCTACCACACTCCGGAGACGCGAGGGACGGTGCCCGTGATCGCACTCTGACCAGACCAAGCCAAGCTGATACTCACCGGACGACAAGGCGGTAGCGGGGCGAGGCGTACTTGTTCTTCGCCTGCGAGACAAGCTTGCGACGAGCGTAGTAGTCGGTCTTGCCCTCACGACGACGACGGTTCTTCGTCTGGTACCGCGAGAAGTACGCGCTGTTCTTGACCACCTTGACGAACGGCATCTGGGGTTAGGAGTGCTCAAAAGTTGCGTTGCAAGAAAGCGACGGAGCAGCAGCGGAACGGCGTCGCAGGGGCCCGTCGGCGGTAGACACGCGCGCAGTCGAGCACTCCAGCGAGATTATGCCGACGCCGCTCATCCAGAGCTTGCTCGCCGCCCGCGAGTCGTCTGACCTGCGAGAGGTCTCGCACGGCTGCCTTTCAATCGACGCCGACCGCTCGTTGCAACATGCAGCGCGCGCTCCACCGCTGCAAAGCGGCCCGTGCCGCTGTCCATGTCGATGCTGTCCGCGCCGTTGCTGCTGCCGTCGCCGTCGCCGGACTCACTTTGGCTTTTGAGGGATAGAGGAGAACTTGGCCGTCTGCCTCGATCGCCTGTTACACCCAAACGCGAATTCTGCTACCGTTTCACCCTGGAGAATTTGTCGGCGTTTGGCAAAACGAATGTGGCACTGGTTGCATCCATTTGATCCCGCGTCTGTTTGGTTCCTGGGGATCGATGGGGAGGTGTCGCTGCCCGTGCATGAATACCCAGCGATGTCCTCCAAACGCTGATGCATGGCCTGCATTCAGCATGCGCTTCGCGCTCCCCCTAGCCAACTCCCGGTGTCTGAGCCCCAGCAAACCTGGTGCCCGAAGAGTGACCCGCAGTCTATCATAGTCTGGCGCACGTTGCAGCCACCCACGCCTGCTGCGCAACAGTCGCGCTGCAAGCTAACAAGAATAGACCACTGTCAGCCGTGGTGACTCCTTGGATCTGCTCGCCGCCAAGTATAGCCTCAGGCCTCAGGGTCGGATCAGCCGCTGTCAGCAAAGAACCTTGTTAATCCTCGCGTGCGGAGATCTCGGAGCTGAAGCTGAGCTAACGCAGACGTGTGGCGCCCTCCCGCGACAACGCACTGCCGATGTGGCGCTCTCAGCCATCCTCCGCAGCCAGCAGTCCATAGTTCACAGTCCACAGCCACAACAAAGCGAGCAATTGGCTTCCTACGACCCCTGCATGGAATTCTGGGCAGGCACTCGCTCCGCGATTGACGCTGCTCCGTCGTGAGTTCAAGCTTTCTGTGGTTTAACCTGACTCAACAGCAGGCGCCTTCTTCGGATATGTGGCCTCCCCCGTCCACTCTGATCTAGCTGCTGTGCGCTTAGCCTCGTACAGATTCCTCCGTCAGGTCATGTCGCCTGTCCCCTTCACTTGAACTAGCGTGCGACACCCATGCACGTCACTCTTGCGCTCCGGATTTGGCGGTGAGTCAAGCGCCACAAACCATCAGACGGCGCCTGTAGCATCGAGCTGTCGTATGCCCATCCAACGTCCTCGACAGCAGCCTTGCCCCCGCCGCTGCACTCTGTGCTCAGTAGCAGGAGAGACCTCACGGCACTCTGGCATGGCCATTCGAACCCCTCAGGAATCCTCAACACCCTCCAAGCGGCTTGCACCCGCCACAAAACCACATTCCAAAGACTTCCCGACGGACCACGCCAGCCCCGCTTTTTCCGGACTCGCTCTTGCCCGAAAGACTTCGCCCCGTTGTTTGGGTCGAGCGGGCGGCGGGCACCCAAATTGTATGCATACTCGCAGGTTCTGGTGGCACATAGGAAGGAGGCACGAGCACTGGTGTCAGACTTGTGCCAGATGACAACAACTCTGAGCCGAGATGCTGGCTCATGAGCAGGACCGTCAGAGTTCGAGGGGAGTGGCGAAGCTCATATGGCACATGTAACCCTATAATGTACAGAGAATCCGGACATTGTCTGTTGTCGTACATAGCAGCGCGTGGCGCACGAATAGCTAGAGTGCAGAGGGCGTCCCGTACAGTAGAGTGCGCATCATAGCGGGTGGCGTCGTGCAAGGTGCCAGCGTCAGGTGCCTCGCTGTCAGTGTGATAGGTTGTTCACTCACAACTAGACGAGCGACGGCACGCTCGGCGTCCGTACATGCCGGTGCACGAGGTCGGGGAGGCTGGTATACGACTCTTCTCGGCGCTCCCAGTCCCACTTCCTGCGAGACTGGATGTGGTCGTTCTCACCCGCACTGGCCGCGCTGAGTGTGTTGGAGCCGTTGGACGAGGAGCGGCGATGAAGCGTTTGTCGGCAGCTGCATCGGCGCTGGCGCTCCAGCTGTCGTCGGAGAAGTCTGATCGTTGTCCGCGCCTCCGCCGCTGCCGAGAGGAGCTGGGCGTTGTCGCTGTTTAAGCGCTCGATATCTTCCTTCATCTGGTGCACGTCCTGCGCGATGCAGGCGGGCGACTTGGTCGGTGGTACGGCTGCGTGTGGCGTTTGGAGGACGGGGGAGCGGGGCAACGGCGAGCGCTGCTCTACTTGGCAGAAGCTGAGGTCCAGCGACAGCGGGGCGGTGGCAGTGCTCCGTGCGCGCAGCGTGCTCAGTTGCCGCCGCAGCTCGACGTTCTCGACACACATGTCGTGCGTGCGCTCTTGGAGAGCGTGTACGCGGCGCCAGAGGCGCGCGTTTTCGTCGAGCACGTCGGCGTAGTCGCCCATCTGAGAGCGGCCGGAGAGAGTCGAAGGAGAGGACAGTGGAGATCGTGAAACGCCATGGCATGGCGGGCGATGCCAGCCGTTCATCATATGTATCTACGGCGGTGTTCTCCATCGCCGCGACCGAGCAGGAACGGACCCGACGCTACATCGCTCGTCGGTTGAAGGCCATCAGGCCCGATCACTTTCCGTCGCAGCTGCTCCGGAAATTACGGAGGGTCCCGCACATACGACGGCCCGGGCTTTGGCGCGTCGCCGCCGCAACATTATCTAATCACCACCAAGCGCCATGCGTGCATCTCGCGCGTGCCGCCGCCCTGCTGTTCTGGCCACGGCTCATGGATCGCGCCGACGTAGGTGAAGCCGAGGCCGGCGAGGACGCGGTTGGAGGGCGCGTTGACGACCTGCGCGTTCTGCAAGTCAGTGCCTCTGAATATGCATGGTGATCGAGGGAATCTCGATCGTGCGGGAAGGCAGGAACCCTGCGCCATGCAGCCGAAGCTGCTGCGATCGACGTACTGCAGTGAACTGGCTGCCCATGTGCTTGGCGGCCCACGCGATCATAGCGCCCACGGCGGCACGGCCGAGGCCGCGCCCATGCAGCGCGGGGTCGAGCGCGTAGCCTAATGACAGGACGCCGGAGTGCGCTTCCAAACCCACGTCGCCGACTAGGCGGCCGGCCGGGTCTCGGATGACCATCACGGGTGCATGGGTCACGAGGGCGGCGGGGTCGGAGCGCAGCGCCGCGGCCGAGGCTCGCTGTAGCGGAATGTGCATGCCGAACCACCAGAGCGAGTCGGCGCGGGTGTAGCTGGTGTCAGCGAGCTGTATGCCGCGAAGCCGAGGAGCGGATGTGGGGGCGGAGAGGGAGCGGCAGGCGTTTCGTGTTTGATGAAGACGTTGAAACTGTCCCCTCACATGCCCTCTCTGGAAAAGCCTCACGGATACGGCCGCATCTGCGACCACTGCGCAATGGAGGGGTGGTTGCTCATGCGTTCCTGCCGTCAGCGGCCATTGTTGGTCGTCCGCAACGGGAAGCCATGTCAGAGCTGCGTTTTCTGTCTTCGCCATGGCCGTCCCCTCATGCTGGAGACTTGTGGCCACAGTCCCCTTCCCCCTTGTCCAACTCACAACAGCTTCGTAGTCTGCCTCAGTCGCACGATACGGCGTAATACGATATCCATCATGAAGAGGGATGTACGGCTCCTCGTCGTCCCACATGAGTTCCGGGGCGGGCGGGAGGCCGCGGGCAACGTAGTTATCTGGCGGTGTCCATCTGGGCATGGAGGCTTGCGCCGCGATCAGTTCCTGGATGGATGGAAGGGGGCCACCGATGGGCGCCGGGCCGTCGTGTTGTTCTGCCATGCTGTGGAGATGTAGGAAGGAGGAAGCCTTGCTCGTGCTTGAGGACTGCTGCGGCAGAAATAGTGCGCTATTTCGGCGAGAGTTTGCAATCTTATAGCTCAGCTACTCTGTTCGGCGGACAGGGTCTAGTTGGTCGCGCGGAGTCGTTGCAGGGTGGCGGTGAGTTGATTTCGAGTCGGTGGCATGTTGATCAGTGCATTCCGCATGGTCGGCAGATAACGCGGGTGATCGGCATGATCCCCGGGTGGTCACTTTCACTTCTGCCGGTCTTCACTGCACAGCGCATGCTCTCGCAACAAGCCGCAAACCAATGTCGCGTACCCTGATAAGTCTGATCAAGCTCATCTGCGTATGGCTAGGTGCATGGCGGACAAGCACGTGAAGAGCTGACGGCCTTGCCCGAGCTGCTCAGCTTTGATCACGGCGACTGAATATCTGGCGAGCTCGAAGTAGAAGGGTCACAAACGCCGGGGGCCCGTCACCTTGCTGTACTGTACATCAGTCCAGCTCCGCCGCGCATCTGCTCATGACCATGCACGAGTCGCCGAGGAATTGCCAACGGCTACGAGTGGCTTGGCGCCGGCAAAGTCCCTATCTCCGCTTCCGCCACGTGTGCTGGCAGTCGTACTCTCCATGGCATGAACGGAATATAGCAAAAGTGCAGCGCGTGAGGCGAACACGCCCCGAACGTCGGCTTGGATGTGGACGGACGGACGCGTCTCGTTCGCACGCCACCACAGTCACAGCATTCACGAATGCCAGGCTGCTCGTGCTCGGTTCAGTTCCCATTCCACAACAATCAGCCATCGGCTCGGGCGTTGATTGTGCATGCTTTCCCGCGACCCAGGGGTCTCCACGCCATCCGCCGAGCTTGATTCGCTGGCGGAGATGCCCCGCCAACGGAAGTCTCGCTCACCCCACACGCCTCCCCTCCCGTCGCGACCTGGCAGCTGGCAGCTGGCAGCTGGCAGCATACCTCGTGCCCTCGTGAGCGCCCAAGGCGAGTTAATGAATGTACCTGGTTAATGGCTCGTGACTCATGCCTCAAGTGGTGGCGCTCGCCATCCACTTCCTGGTATGGCGTCAGCGCCACGCCTGTTGGCGCGATAGCGCACGGTCACGCGGTGCAGGCCCAGGCGCGACCATGCACGAGCCGTGAGCATGGGCACAAAACGAGGCTGCCGACCTCCAGCGATAGGATGGATAGGAGAACGGAAGAGGAGTAGAGCACGGGAGAGCGTGTCGTGCGGGGCGGCGGGGCAATCTCTCCGAGGGATAAGAGTGGGACCGTGAGGCATGGATGGCATCATCATCCAAATGTTCGGAATTCCATATTCGCCACCCAATTCGGGAGGAGGTGGATGCTGGCTGGATTATCAGGTGGCGATCTGCAACGCGCTGCCACGCGCAGGGCATGAATGCATGGCGGGTGGCGATTGAGAAAGGTGGTTTGCTGGAGGGGGATGCATAGGCTGCATGGGAGAACTGCAGAGCTGGGCGATGGATGGATAGCGCCATGCATTCGCCATGGCCCAAGAAACACTTGGCCTCAAATTCGCCATAGCCATTGGCTTAACGGGGTGGATTGAATAATGCGGTTAAATCACGCCAGCGATCACGTTAGTAGAGGGAGATTTGGGCTGTCGGAGTCCACCGTAGACAGCAGGCGAGTATCACCCCGCAAGCACCGTTGTCCGTCGAGCACGCACCGATCTCTCACTCTCATTCACATCTCCTCTTCATCTCTCTCTTCTTCATCTGCCTTGATCATCATCATCATCATCATCATCCACCCCGTCATCCTCGATTAATCCATCGCACACGGCCCACAAACGACACCTCGGCTAGTTCCGACGCCCTCGCTCGTCTTGTGACACTCGACTCTTTCGTGACTCTGCGGTGCCTCAACACCCCAACCTCTCTCTCGTCCCCAACCGTGACAAACCCTCCCACTTACGGCTTGGCCCACGCCTCCGCACCCCCCGCCGCCGCCGCCGCTCCCACCTTCCCGCCTTGTCCCCTCCCACATCGCTCGACCATTTAATCATACACTGCTCTTCTTGAGAGAGCCTCTCCGCTCTCCTCGCCCACCCTTCTCTTCCCCGGCTCCCCCGCCACTATGTGTCCCCTCGGCTCGGAAATCGAAAGCGTGCCGGCGGGCACCTCGACAATGGCAGACAGCGCGCTAAAGGAGGACAGCCGCAAGCTCTGCGTTCGCCACAAGCAGACTGCCAACCAGAACGTCAACGCAAAGCTGCAGAAGGTGCGCTGGCTCATAATCTCTGGCTAACACTACAGTCGCTCGACTCCCTCCCTGTCTCTGAGCGTGAGGAGATTACGCATCTGTGGTCGACCTTCTCCGCCGCTGCGCACCCCAAAAGAAAACTCATTCTCGAGGGTATCCTCACCATGTGCTGTTTGTGAGTACTCTACTTGCCGCTTCTCCTTGTGCTAACCCTCTAGCTCGCAACTCTCCCATCTCTCAGACTCGCTCAACAAGATAATCCGCATCGACCCCTTCTCCCTTCTCCCAAGAGAAGTCTCCCTTCGCATCCTAGGCTACCTCGACGCCATCTCGCTCGGGCGTGCGGCCCAGGTCTCGCGGTCGTGGAAGGCGCTTGCCGATGATGACCTCCTGTGGCGCCGCATGTGCGGCCAGCACATCGACCGCAAGTGCGAGAAGTGCGGGTGGGGCCTCCCGCTGCTCGAGCGCAAGCGTCTCAAGGTCGAGCTCAAGGACCGTAGCCCCGCGGCGGCCATGGGCATAGCTGGCCACAGCTCCCATGGACATGACGGCATTCAGCAGCTCATGACGCGGTCGCAAGCGCTTGGTGTCGACCACGTCCACGAACACGCCACTCCACGCTCGGTTGTGTGCGAGCCCTCCATCACCTCGAGCAGCTCGTTGAAGCGCTCCGCCGAAGCGAGTTTGGTACAGCCCCATCCAAAGAAGCGCGTGCGCACCAACGGCAGTGGCAGCGACTCGGAGAATGAGATCGCGCCGACGGCTGGTATGCTCACTAGAGAGGTGCGCCTCACGCGCCCTTGGAAGTCGGTGTACTGCGAGCGCCTTGTTGTGGAGCGCAACTGGCGCAAGGGAAGGTGTCAGCTCAAGACGCTCAAGGGCCACACCGACGGCGTCATGTGTCTCCAGTACCACACGACTCTCACCAACCCCCACTACCCCGTACTCATCACCGGCTCGTATGACCGCACGGTGCGCATCTGGAACCTCGACACGGGCGAGATCGTGCGTGTCCTCCGTGGTCACACCCGGGCTGTGCGCGCTCTTCAGTTTGACCAGATGGTCCTCTTCACGGGCTCGGCGGACGGTACGGTGCGCATGTGGAACTGGCGCAAGGGCGAGTGCATGCGTGTGTTTGAGGGTCACTCGGATGGTGTCCTTGCCCTCAACTACAACGGCTACCTTCTCGCCTCTGGCAGCAATGACAACACGGTCATCGTGCGCAACTTCCGCTCCAGCACTCAGTTCACCCTGCGCGGCCACGATGACTGCGTCAGCAGCGTCCTCATCTGGGATGGCAAGACCTCGCCCGGTGACTTGGACCCGACAACCACGACGACCATGTTCACGCAGGCGCTTAAGCCGCGGTCGCGCGCGTCTCCCGACCCCCAGCCCGAGATTGATGTCGGCACCATGCTCTTCTCTGCGTCCGACGACTGCACGATCAAACTGTGGGACTTGGCTACGCACGAGTGTGTGCGCACCTTCTCGGGCCACCGCGGCCAGGTGCAGAGCCTCCGTGTGCTCATGATCGACCAGCCGAAGGAGGGCGACGAGGAGCGCGACCGCGAGGTGACGCCGCCTGCTTCGGGCTGGGCGCCAGCATCGCTCACTCCGCCTCCGGCTCTTTCTGCTGTTGACAACTCACCCGCCGAGTTCGATGCCGCGGTGCACGCGCGCGCGCCGGACGTCGTCCCGCGCGTCTACGTGCACGAGGAGGACGACCGCAAGCGTCGCGAGCGCACGTCTGACGTGGAGGAGCGTCGCCCTGTGCTTGCGTCGGGCAGCTTGGACGGTACCATCAAGCTGTGGGATGTCGACTCGGGCCGCGAGCGCAACACGCTGTTCGGGCACATTGAGGGCGTGTGGGGCATCGACATGGATGCGCTCCGCCTCGCGTCGGCGTCGCACGACCGCACCGTCAAGGTGTGGGACCACCAGTCGGGCCACTGCGTGCAGACGCTCACTGGCCACCGCGGTGCAGTGACGAGTCTGCAGCTGTCGGACGACATGATTGTTTCGGGCAGCGAGGACGGCGAGGTCATGGTGTGGAACTTTGGCCCGCAGTCGGCGTCGGCGTCTGCCATCGCGCTGAACGGCACGCCGGCACTCTAATCATAGCCCTGGGTTTTAGCATTCTTGGGCCCTGCGTTGTAGCACTGTTTGTTGATAGCATTGTGTATAGTATGCATCGGGATATGGGGCGATCTTACTTGGGGCGGGGGTAGCTGTTGCAGACGACATGCCAAGCTGTGCGTCAGCTCTGTCGACGTGCGGAGCGGCTGGCTGCACACTTGAGGTAGGCTGGGTCTTCGCCCCGGCCTATCCCTGCTCGAGCCGGAGCCAGCCCGTGTCTTGCGTTGGTAGCACCAGCCAAAGAATTTGCTGGCAAGGAAGTGCATGTCGCCAGGTGACACGTCGCACAGCATATCGTTAGAAGCGTGAAGCGAGTCGAGCGCGAGCAGAGGCAGGGGCAAACCTGCGGCCTATTCATGAACCCTTCAGCGGCTCGTCGTGGGGCGATTGTAGACGACCACGATCTGTGATCATCTGCAGCCCATTCTCCACGCTGGTGGTCGTACTTCTACTCCTGCCTCTCGCTCGTTTTCTCCACGACGTCTCCACGAAGTCACGTCTATACATCACAAAGTTTTCCCTTCAACAAGTCGGAATCCCGCTCCTCAACCCCCCACCTCGAGCCTAAGCCGCGGCGGCAAACTCGTCAATGTACGCACAGAGCTTGTGCACGCTCTCGAGTGTGACGGCGTTGTAAATGCTGGCGCGGATGCCGCCGACGCTGCGGTGGCCCTTGAGCTGGCGGAATCCGCGCGCCTCGGCGCCCTTGAGGAACTCGGCTTCGCGCCCGTTCGTGATGTTGAACGGGACGTTCATCCAGCTGCGCGCGGCCTTCTGGCGCACGACGCACGTGACGGCGCCCGTGGCTTCGGCGGCGTCGAGGCTCGCGTACAGCGCGTCGGCTTTGGCCTTGTTCACCTCGGCGACCTTGTCGAGGCCGCCCTGCGCCACGAGGTGGCGCAGCACGAGGGCGGACACGTAGATCGGGAACACGGGCGGCGTGTTGTACAGGCTCCCGTTGTCGGCGAGGGTCTTGTACTCGCTCTGGATGGGGACGGCGGGGACGCCGCCGAGCTTCATCGCCGCGGTGGTGTCGACGAGCAGGTCGCGGCGGACGAGGACGACGGTGACGCCCGACGGGCCGAGGTTCTTCTGCGCGCCGGCGTAGATGATGCCGTGTTGCGCGATGTTCGGGATCGGGCGCGAGAGGAACGACGACGAGTAGTCGGCCACGAGCACCGTGTCCTTTGGCACCTTGTCGAAGGGGAAGGATGCATCCGTGCCGGCCACGCCGGCGAACTCGTCGCCGTTGATCGTCTCGTTTTCGCAGTAGAACGCGAGGGCGGCACCCGCGCTGAAGTCGTATGCGGAGGGGAGCGACGTGTACTTTGCCTCCTTGGAGGACGCGGCGAGGCGGGGCACGCAGAACGGCTTGCCGTCGCCGTTGAGCGCGAGGCGCTGCGCTTCGGCGTACGCCTTGGCCGACCACGAGCCCGAGACGACGTAGTCGAGCACAGGCGGCTCGTACTGCTCCGTAGGCGTGGACGCGTGCGCGAGACGGCGGGCAGCAAGGACGTTGAGCACGACGCTGGCAAACTGCGTCGTGCCGCCGCCCTGCATGAAGAGCACGGCGTGCGAGTCGGGGAGCTTGAGAAGCGAGCGGAGGTCGGCTGGGGGTTAGTATGGTAAGGCGCATTCGGAGAGAAAGGTCGCTGAAGGCCGTTGACGGACGGAGAAGGAGTCAAAGGACCCCGGCGAGTCGCATTCGTATCTGTTCCGCGGCCGCCGCCCCTTCGAAACCTCGCCTCGTGCATCCAGCTCTGCAACTCTTTCCCTCCAGCCGCTCGCTGCTCGCTCGCGGGCCGCTCCCCCCCCTCCCAAACTCACCCTCAGCCCCCTCAATGATCGCCTTAAACTCCTTCCCGCGGTGAGAGAGCTCGCACACGCCCATCCCCGTGCCATTGTAATTGAGCAGGCCGCGCGCCGCCTCCTCCAACACCGAGGTGGGCAGAGGCGAGGGGCCCGCGGCAAAGTTGTGGACGGCGGAGCGGTCGAGGGACATTGTATGTGCGGAAGAAGGAGTGGTGGGTGACAAGTTTGGGCCGACCTCCACCGATCCACCGATCGAGTCGGTTCAGTCGGGGTCGATGGTTCCGAATTGGCTAGCCGTCCGATGACTTGAGTCGGCCAGGCTGAGCAAGCTGAGCAGGCTGAGCGGAGCTGATCTGAGGCTGGAGGGGCACAAGGATTGACTATGTGAAGCAGCAAGCTAGCCGTGAGTTCCATCTTAATGCTTGTCTTGTGGGAGTGCAGTGGCAGTTGCTGCGCTACTTGATGTGGAGGATGTGCACACCATGTCTTTCGCCCAGCAAGGCAGTGTAACCGTGCCTGTGGTCTCTTTCGGCCTCTGCCTCGTCACCATACCCTCCCCCAAGGGTACATATGCATCAAAATCTACTTCATATCGCCGCCATGTGCGTGGACAAGTTGGAGTATAAATCAACACCCATCCCTCACCCAACTCAGCTGGGTCCATGGTTCGAATACGGTTGCTGGCAATCGGCAAAAAGGGTGCAAACCGCCGTATAACTACCTTGACACACATGACTAGGAACAACTTTTGTCCTGTGGATCATGTGTGTGGATCATGTGGGACAACTTGAAGCATCCCTTGTTTGGACGTGTGGTGCCAGTGTTGTAGCTAACAGCTCTCTTTCCCACTTTCAGTCCCCACCAACACTGAGGACCCCATTTAGCCCGTTCCCGCAACCACTGCTACCCGTTCGGTTCAAAGACTGACATCTGATATCTCCTCTATGGCCACTGCGGGGTACCCACCCCGCGGCCAATACATGCGACCTCGGTCGCTTCTCGTCGTCTACGCGTCTCTGTTGCAATGCTAAGTAGGCGATTGATGGGGGCGGCGGTGATCGTCCTTGGACGAACAGGGCGCGGCCGTGATGTGATGCAATGTTGCGGAAGGGAATGGTGGCAAGGCTTGTGTGGCCGCGTCGAATGGTCGAGGCCGGGTATCTTGATAGCGAAGGGCGATTACTTGGAGAGCTCCTTGATGATCTGAGGTCAGCCAAGTTTTCCGGCACGCCTCTGCCACTGCGCGTTTTCCCCCTCCTTCGTCACACAATATGCTGGCAATGAGGGCCCACAGCGTTACTTTGCAACGCCTCCAAGCCCGCGGAGGGGCTCAGCCCTCGTCGGCGCCGCACACACATCGCCAGCCTCCATTACAAACTCGCCTTTTGCGCGTACGCGGCATTGGTGCGCGACTGCTTGCTTGCACCGCGCTGGCGGCCGATCGCGATGGCGTTCTGGACCCACTCGGTGCAGATCTGGTCCCGGACCGTGGCACCGTAAGTGTCACCAAAGTCGCCAATAAGGCCCAGCGTGTTCGTGATGAACTCCTCCGTTCTGTCATCCTCCTTCATGCAGGTGTGAAGGAAAGCCATGATGCCCGGAACGTAGGTGAGCATCGGTGCGGGGTCACCCGCCTTGAGACCGTTCATGATACCGATGAAGGCGTCGACGATTGCCTCACGCATAGTCCAGACAAACTCAGTGAGGGCAAGGTCGGTGCTAGACGCGGTAGTCGCGCCGGCCTGGCTGAGAATGCCCATAGTGGTCTCGAGGTACGGGGTGAACGCGGGACCAATGGCAAGAGCAACCTCGCCAATGGCAGTGATTGCGGTAGGCTTGACCTGCCTGTGGATGACAGGGCTGCGGAGGATAGCAATCAGCTGGACCATGATGGGCTCAGCGTAGTTGGCGAGCTGCTCCTGGATGGCGCGAGAGACGTCCGACACACAGTAAACGGCGGCCTGGACGACCTGGTAGTCCTCGACGGCCTGAAGAGCGGCGAGAAGGAAGCTCGAGAACGCCTCCATGTACTTGATGAAGCCGCCCTCCAGAGCACCAGCGAGAGCGCCTATGGTGGCCAAAAGGTCCTCAAGGACAGCGCCGTGCTTGGCTGACGAGCTGAGGATAGTGAGGAGGTTGGTCATGATCTGGTCCGCATAAGGCTGGACGAGGGCAGGAGACTTCTGGATGAACGCCTGAATGACAACGCAGATGTTGATCTGCATGTCGTTCCAGTTGTTGCGGTCGTCCATGCCAACGAGCTGGTTCTGCATACCGATAAGAGCCTCCTGGCGGCGGAGCATCTCCACTGTGGCCTGCTCAGCCAATGTGAGGGTGTCAAGGGCCGAGTTCGCGACAAACGTGGCCATGGTCTGGTACGCGGCGGTGCGGCAGTTGCCATCGTTGTTAGGCTTCTCCGTGACGGGCATAAGCGCGGTAAAGATGGGCCGGAAGAAGGGCGACATAGGAGAAGTGGCTGGGTCCTCTACCATCATCTCAGAGGGGAAGAGCTGAATAACGAGGTTGTTGAGTGCCGAGCAGCACGAGTTGATTATACGAGGCGTCCCGCTCTGGACACCGAGTACAAGGGCCTGCACCAAGCTCTGAAGGTGACTGCCAGTGTCGACAACATCGAGCATAAGCTCAGTGATCTTGGACAGGGTCCATGCGACCGAGTCACGCACGTGAACATCTGGGTCGGACTGGAGCATGTTGATGAGCGTGCCGAGGGCTTGCGCAACAAGCGTCGAAAGGGTGGACGACTCTGGTCCGTCGAGAATGCAGCCAAAGGTCATGACGGCGGCCTCGCGGTGGCGCCACTCGGTGCTGCGTATACCCTGCTCGACGAAGGGGACGACGGGCTGCACAATGGCATCGCCAACGTCACGGGCAAGGAGCTCGAGACAGGACGCAGCGGCCATCGACTTGGTCCACTCGTCCTCGTCGGCGTCCTCCTCCTGCTGTGTGAGAAGTTCGAGAAGAACAGGCAGGATCTCGTTGAGGGCCATCTTGGCAAAGTGCTTGGATACGATTGCGGGCTCTTCGCCGTACGCCAATGCCTCCTGAGACTCGATGCCAATCTCAATCTCTTCCTCGCAGACGGTTGACCAGAACTCAATGGCCTGAAGGGCGACTGGCTCCTCTGGGTGCTTCATGCCCATAATGGTGAGCTGATATTAGCATGACTCAGGGGGGGACCGTCGGCGTTCAGACTCACTCCGAAAAGAGCACGCTCCATGTACAGCTCCATGAACTCGTAGTACAAGCTCATGATGCGAACAAGACACTCGAAAGCGCCGACCTGCACGGGGACAGCCGAGCTCTGCGTCGCCTCACACACGACCTGCATGATGTAGTTGCGCTCACCCTGGAATGTCAGCAGTAGCTCAAAAGATCTTGTAATGACGCACCTCGCGCTCAAAGTTGTCGCGAATGAACTCGAGTGAGTTGTAGAGAGCGTTGATTGCTGCGGTCTGCACATCGGTGCTAGGCTCTTCCTTGCGTGCACCCTGGACAACGGCAGTGAGGATCTCGTTGGAGCGTGCGGACAAGACCTCGGGGTGGACCACCTCGCAAATGTAACCAATGGTCTGGAGGGTGGCAACACGGAGACCTGTGTTCTCCTCGTTCTGGACAAACTGGAGCAACTGGCCGATGAGCTCGGACCAGCTCCCACGAGGAAGTTCAACAGCTGCGACGGCAGCGACGGCCTGCGCGGCAACACCGGCCGCACGCTTGTCTGACGAGGCCAGCGAGGTGAGCAAAGAGTGCTTGAGGGTATTGCGAATGTCGTCACCCAAGTTCATCCACGCCTCGGACAGTGCTGGTTGGTTGACAGCATCCTGAAGGGTTAGTTCATGGGTGCCCCTTAACGGTTCGTAAACAAATGTTTGCACTTACACGAGCGGAGATGGCGTTCTTGAATGCGATACCGGCGGCGTTGCGGATGTGGGAGGGAGCCGACTCGTTGGCAATCTCCTGTGCGAGAGTGTGGAGGTACCCTGCCTAAAAATGGTCAGTAAATGTTGGGTTGTTGTGTGTGAGATCTAATGGCGCTGGGCGGCGGCCTAGCCGCTGCAGCTTCTCCCCGTGCCAGCAGCAAGGACCCACGAGATTGTCACGGCGAGCAGCCTCGAGCTGTTCAGTCGCGCTCTGGCGAGTGGCAGCGTCTGGGGTCAGCTATGGTGCAATAAAAAGGGACTGACTCTCAGAGAGCGAGTTGGCGAGAAGGGTGGCGGCGTCCATGTTCAGTTGACAGATGGTGTGGACGGGGGATTATAACGGACGAAGGGAAGGGGGAGGGGTGAGACAATAAAAGGAGGAAGAGTTTTAATCGCTGGGGATGTGGACTTGGGATAGGGGAGGAGGAGGGATGAAGGATGAATGGAGGTCGTTGATGATGGCGACGACGACGAGGATGATGATGGGATGAGGAGGGGGATGGGATGAGGAGGAGACGAGGTGGATGGAAATGAAACGCGATCAAGTTGTTGGTGGCTTTGGTGGATTGGAGGGAGGGAAGGGAGGG